AATTTTTTTTGTAATGAAATGAATATGAATATAATAAAAACTATTAGAAAGATGAAATAATCTCCATTAAAGGCATGGGAACATTTTCCAGTTTTCACTCTGGCACCCCTACCTTTGGAAGGATCTCCATATGAAGTCCAATGGGTTTTTATGGGTGTGATGTCTTCTTTGGAAGCTTTTAAACAGAGGCTGGATGGCCATCTGTTGGGGGTGCTTTGAATGCAATTTTCCTGCTTTTTGACAGGGGGTTGGACTGGATGGCCCATGAGGTCTCTTCCAACTCTATGATTCTTTGATTTTTGATTCTATACTGTAGCTCCTTTTAAAATGATCCTAAAGCAGCTCTCCCCCACCCCAAATATACTACATACACATGACAAAATAATCAGTTTACCTTTTCTAGTCTTTGTTTAGGCTTGTGCAACCCTTTTGCATCCTATAAATGTGGTTCTGAATCAGAAGCACACATAGGGATGAGGCGATTTAAACAACTTCTCCCTGCCCAATGAGATCAGGGTATATGATTGCTGGATAGAATGACTGGTTAACAACATGAAGTTGTCCAGGAGGGGTTGCACCCTCCATTTGATGGTTCTAGAAAAGCCATGGGAAAACTTTGGCCCTCAAGGTGTTTTGGACTTCAATTCCCACAATTCCTAACACCCTACCAGTTATTAGGAATTGTGGGAGTTGAAGTCCAAAACACCTGGAGGGCCGAAGTTTGCCCATGCCTGGTCTAGAATTACTGGGATCAAATCCCCTATACAATCTAGTTTATGAATATCAAGGGTCTGGAGAGCAAGCTCTATGAGAAGCGGTTTAAAGAGCTGGACATGTTTAGCCTGCAGAAGAGAAGACTAAGAGAACACATGATGGCTCTGTATACATATGTGAGGGGAAGTCATAGGGAGGAGGGAGCAGCCTTGTTTTCTGCTGCCCTGGGGAATAGGTCGTGGAACAATGGCTTCAAACTACAGGAAAGGAGATTCTACCTGAACATGAGGAAGAACTTCCTGACTATGAGAGCTGTTCAGTAGTGGAATTCTGCCCCAGAGTGTGGTGGAGGCTCCTTCTTTAGAGGCTTTTAAACAGAGGCTGGATGGCCATCTGTTAGGGGTGCTTTGAATGCAATTTTGAAATGTGTTGCAAATGCCAAGAGGTCACTGTAACAATTACCCTTGATGGGTAATTCCTTCCCGATGACTACAGCCATTTCACAACTTTCAACCACCACATTTAAGGGGGTGTGATGTGAGAACAGATTTCATCTAAAGCAGGCATGGGCAAACTTGGGCCCTCCGGGGTTTGCCCATGCCTGATCTAAAGAAATGCTACTGTTTCTATTCACTGTTTTTACTGTGCTCCTTACCTGAATTAACATTACTGAAATATTCATAAATCTGTCTATTGCTATTTATTTAAAGGAGATAGTTAATTTTTTAAAATAGGCATTGTACTTTTCAGGAAGTGCCCATTTGGCACAGATTTTATTGTTCAAGGGCTATTTATCTATCCAAAGAGTAAGAGTGATTTAGCCTATTACATCTGATTCTACAGAAAGGGATTTGCTGGGTTAACTGGAGGGACAGTACATGACAAGCACTTGATGGCTGTTAGGGGGTGGGGCGACTTGGTCATTTGTGTAAATGAGCAGTGCTCAGATTTAATCCAGATGTAATCCAATTTGTACTTCTTAAGGGCTGAACCATGTATTGCAACTAATAGTATATTCACTCGGGGAAACTATCCTCCTTGAAAACTGAACAGCCAAATGTACCAGAGCTGAGGAGTCAAGTTAGTAATAAGGGAACCTCACTCCTGAGAACCTCACTCCTGAGGATGACAACCTACAAAGACACAACATATAAGGGAAAGAAGTGATGGAGAAGGAAAGCAAAAGCACCAATTCTCAGTGTTATGCAGTTTATGTACTGACCAATTTTTCAGGAGACAGCTAGTTTTTACAAAGTTATAGGGAGGAGGGAGCAAGCTTGTTTTCTGCTGCCCTGGAGACTAGGACATGGAACAATGGCTTCAAACTCCAGGATAGGAGATTCCACCTGAACATGAGGAAGAACTTCCTGACTGTGAGAGCTGTTCAGCAGTGGAACTCTTGGCCCGGACTGTGGTGGAGGCTCATTCTTTGGAGGCTTTTAAGCAGAGGCTGGATGGCCATCTGTTGGGGTGCTTTGAATGTGATTTTCCTGCTTCTTGTCAGGGGGTTGGATTGGATAGCCCACGAGGTCTCTTCCAAATCTATGATTCTATGATTCTATTCTATTCGGCCAACATAGCAGTTCGAAAACATGCAAATGTGAGTAGATCAATAGGTACCACTCCAGTGGGAAGGTAATGGCGCTCCATGCAGTCATGCCAGCCACATGACCTTGGAGGCATCTACAAACAACACCGACTCTTTAGCTTAGAAATGGAGATGAGCACCAGCCCCCAGAGTTGGACACAACTGGACTTAATGTCAGGGGAAAACCTTTACTTTTACCTTATTGTATGAAAACACCTCAAAAAGTCTTGAAGAAATAGCCTTTTATAATGCTTCAAATATAGCTGTAAGCTATCAATCTTCCAGGTCAGAACAGCAACATATGAGGTCTAACTGGAATCTGCTAGTTTCCTGTTCTTGCAGCCACTGAAGGAAAGGTTTCTGAAGGATACCTATCATCATGCCATCAAAAGAGATGGTCTTGTTGCTTTTCCTCATGGGGCAATCAGTTCTGATCACCTCTGTGAGGTTAGGCCTTTGTCCCATCTAATAGAAGAAACAGTGTATGCTATGTGGAGGGATGTTTATCTTCTATGGCCTCTCATTTTCACAGACAAGGGGAAAAAGATTCAGAAGATGAACCAGTTTCATACATAATGGCACACAAGAGCAATTAAGTCTTAAACAAATATAAATTAACTTAATGACGACCCAGACTGACCCTGGAATATGACCTGGATTATGTGATTTTAATTGTTGTTTTAATGTTATGTTTTAATTGGTTGGTTTTAACGCTTTTGTTTATTCATTGATGTATGTGTACATTTGGCATTGAATTGTTGCCTTTGTGAGGCCACCTTGAGTCAAATGTATTGTCGAATGCTTTCATGGCTGGAGTTGTTGTAGGTTTTTCAGGCTATATGGCCATGTTCTAGAAGCATTCTCTCTTGACATTTCGCCTGCATCTATGGATGCCTCACAACCTCTGAGGATGCCTGCCATAGATGCAGGTGAAATGTCAGGAGAGAATGCTTCTAGTACATGGTCATATAGCCCAAAAAACCTACAGCAACCCAGTTTGAGTCCTTTTCAGGGTAAAGAAAGGTGGGGTACAAGTATGGTAAATAAAATAAATACAATGTGTTTATAATTGATGGATATATACACACTGTCAAAAAGTAATCTAACAAAGTTGCTTTCACTGTACTGATATTTTCATCTGTGTGTGTTTGCCTTCAAGTCACCTGTGGACCTATGATGACCCCATGAATTTTCTTAGTGAATACTCAGAGGTGGCTGTGACAGTTCCTTTCCCTGAAATATAACCTACAACACCTGGTATTCATTGGGGGTCTCTCATTCAAGTAATAATTAGGTGTGATCCTGCTTAGATTCCAAGATTTAGATAGGATCTAGTGCTCTAAGCATTTCCATCTATGCTCACCTTTTGTCCTCCCTGCAACAGCTGTTAGGGGCTGCTTTTAAAAATTTCCTAGTTTAAAGGAATGCCAGGTTGGGACAAATAAATTTTAGAAAGGGATAGCATGGAAAACTCTGCTGCAAGTATGAAGCTTGCCATGTATTATTGTCATTCACTTTGGTAAATGCCTATCATGGTGCATCTTAAACTTCTGTAGTAGTAATATAATAATATACCACCATCCCCAGAGCACTTAAATCTCTAGCGGCAGCAAGGATGTTAATCTTAAACCTCCACCCACATGCTCATATAGGCTCTGGCCCTAACCTCAGCATATAGCTTATGGTTGTATCTGTGATCTTGCAGTCTCTCTCCCTCACACGTACACACACATCATCTCCAGGTCAGCAGGTTCAGTGCCTTGAGTGGCTGGGCCTACACTGAATCCTTTTGCAGGTTTTATGGGAACATTACTATTTCATAGATATGAGTGATCTCTTTTCCTGAGCTTACAAATCTCAGAAATGAAGAGCTTCACACATGTATGAAATAGATCACATGTCTCAAGGAGCTGAGAAGGTGCCAAAAATACAGCTTCTATTAAGAAGCATATTTTGTGGAAAAGGGAAGGTAAAAAGGTACATATGAATCTTCTGCAATCATAATAATTTGGTTGATATAATAGTAGATGAAGACTTCCTTGATAGTAAAGATCTATAAATCATGCCATAATTGGATTGAAAAAAATAAATGTAGTATTCCCTCCTTCAACTCTAAAGACATAGCTATCTATTTAAAGTAAGCCATCAAAGTCTAGGTAACAGTAGGTCTGGGTACTCCATCTTCAATGTTCTTTGTGTTGCTTGCTTATCCAAGTATATCATGGTGGCCTATCTTTTATATTTCCCATTGCCTTACATTACCACATGAATACCAACATAACTCCTCTTAAATTGACCCACACATGAGCTTCTTCACCTTAAGGTGAGCAAGGCCATTACTAGCCCTTTTAATTATCCAGAAACAGACATTGTTGTAATTTTATTATTGTTATTTCCCTTGCTTAGTCTGATAGTTGCAACTACTACTGCTGCTTCTTTCACTACTATGACTTTAGGGTATCCCCTGTATTGTCTGTGGGCAGATTGCATCCCTAAAATGCCTAAGGCTATGTCATGAGGAAACACCTTTAGACAACAACAAAAAAACAATACAATTAAAAGTCATTCAAATAAGTCCATAATAAGGAAATTATTCACCAGACATCAATTTGAATAATTTGTATAATTGGTTGCTTCCAGACACTCAGTGTTTGAATCCTTACATCTCAAGAACGTGAGTCTTGTTTTGCTTGCTTACCTCTGAGTTTGAAATATTTCAAATGGTTGACAAGAGCCTGTTCCATAGACTCATCTGGACATATTTTAACTCCAGTAGGAAAGAAAATTGATCTTTTTCTTCGAAAGCGCATGCGCTTGCTTAATTTCTCAGATTCCCTGAAATCAAGAAGATGCCTAGAATCCAGAAACTGGGGGTGGCTTCTAATTGACCGCCAGCCATTAGGTGGAAGATCTGGTGTAGGTTCCTTCATGTCTATATCTTCTGCAGGTAATTGGGTCACATCTGAAAAAGGACACCACAAACATATCCTTTTAAATAGCCACACATACAAAGTCACAATACCACTGAGGTTTACTAAGAAATACAGTCCTCAACAAAACGTTTTTACAAAGTATTGTGCTTATTTCTTTATTCATTTAGATAACTTGGAGGCTAACAGAGAAGATTTTGACTTCCATATTGTATGTTTAGCAGTGTCTTTATCATTACTAGTGTTATGATGGTGTATCACCATGTACAATGATCTATTCACAACTCTACCCATACTATAAAAAGATATTTTTTTCACATAATCAAAGTTTATGGTTAGTATTATCACATTAGATGTTGGTGAATATTTCAAAGTTTATGGTTAGTATTATCACATAAATGTTGTTAAATATTTCAAAGCAGAGTCTCCAGTGGCACAATGAGTTAAACCCTTGTGTTGGCAGGACTGCTGACCAAAAGGTCAGTGGTTTGAATCTGCAAGATGGGGTGAGCTCCCATCTGTCAGCTCCCGCTTCCCATGTGGGGGCATGAGAGAAGCCTCCCACAGGATGGTAAAACATCCGGGCATCCCCTGGGCAACATCCTTACAGCAGACGGCCCATTCTCTCACACCAAAAACGACTTGCAGTTTCCTAAGTCGCTCCTGACATGAAAAAAAAATTAAAAGCAAAGTAGAAACTTTGCCTATTAGAGTTCCCAAACATAAAATCGAATGTTAAAATAGCTTTATTGATTGAATGCCATGGAGAAAAGTATGGGCTCTACTTCCACAGATCAAGAAAGCAGAAATGCTTCATCTGACTCGATTGCTAAGATATCTTGTTTTGCTGCTAAGGGATACAATTGGATCTTCTGTGTTCTGCCCAATCGTTCTCCACCCAGAGGTATGCTTTATGGTACGAATGGTCATCTACTGAAACACTATTGTTGTTGCAGATTGATTCCATGATGTTACAGGGCTTCCAACAACTTGTTTTATATGAAATATTTTCAGCTATTTTTATAACCGGACAGCAACAAAAAGCACATACACAGAAACATTGTATTCTTAGGCTGATGGCATAAAAGAATGAACCAGTTAAAATCAGCAAGGCATGTTTGAAAAATGAGTTTGAGGATAAGTTCTTATGATATATTTTGAATAAATAAGGTTTCATGAATTCGTATGGTGTGGCTGAAGTGATTATTTTGCGTATTGGCAAGATAATAATTTTGACTCAAAATTGGGGGGGGGGGGGGGGGCACCAAAATAATTGAATTGACCAGCGAATGACAGCAAATATATGCAATGTGGATTACCAGATATCAGTGAATTTTGAAATATTAACATAAGGCTTTTAAGACGATAATGCTGCAATTTGGGTGAGAATCAGTAGACAGATGGTCTATAGTAACTAGTATGCAAGAAACCATTGATGTTTAAAATCTGTTTTAATATTGGATCTTTGATATCAAGGCAAAACAAACAGATACTCAGTTATTAAAACCTTAAGAGTATATATATTTAAATGGGAAGTATCATATAAATATATATTGACATGCTACAGAAGGTTATATATAATAAATAGCATTTTCTCATTTCTCCTGTCAAGTATGGCAGATCGTTTTGAAAGCCTCAAGAAAGAGACAGAATTTGAATGTCTTATCTGTTAAGTATATTTCTTCTCATCTAAATTAAAACATGAAATTAAACATAATGATTTGACCCAGATTCAGAGCAGGCTCACTCAAATAAATGGGTCTAAACTTAGCTATTACCACAATTAGACTTGATTTCACTGAATCTATTCTAAATATAACTCAGTCCAAAGTCAGCCAAATATTCAAAGGAGACACATAATAAGTGCTAGAAATGAAAATATGGAACATATTCTTACCTGCAAATGCTTGAAAATCCCTTTCAAAGAACACAAGTAAACACATTCCTAAATAGATTTTCCAAGAAAAGTCACACATAATTCTGTCCTTTCTTTTAAGGCAAAGGGAAAAGAACCAAGTCCCTTTTTAGAAGTGTCAACTGTCCTGGATGTGTTAAACATCCAAGGAGATTTTCTTCTTGGAGAGGCTCTGGCGTCACATCTAATTGCCTTTCATAAAAGGTTAGGACTATTTTCTACCACCACCCCCAAAAATCTTGCCAAAACGCCTAGATTATTTCCTGTTTAAAAGGAACGATTCCATTCTCATTTTGGAAATCACCAAATGTGCTGCAGGAGAAGCGTCTTGATGTTAGCCAATGGACCACGGAGACAATTTTTTCATTCTAAGCTGCCTGCTAAGCCAGCTTTACTAGAGCTTGTCATGTTGTTAACTGGCAGCCTTCGCAAGGACAGTACCTTTCACACTTAATTAAGCACAATTTTGATTGACTTCCCTTTAAAAAAAGCTTGTTGTCCAGGCAAATAATGTATGCTAGCATCATGGTTAGCAGCAACTTCTCAAGCTATTCATGGGTTACAATATGAGAGAATGAAAGAGCACAATTGATTTGATTTAGCATTATGGCCAGGTATAATGAAGGAAAGGCCCCTTGGTGATTCTTTCATGATGTTTCTCAGCCTTTCAGGTGGTAAGGCAGAAGCATGCAGCTCCATGGTGATCTTTGTCTTTCACATACTAATATTTTGACTTTAAAAAAAAACATTGACAATAACCATTATGTGTGCACTGGGAACTACAAAAAAAAGTTGAATTGTTCACTTGTTTGACCATTCTTTTAAATCAATTATACTTGTATTTCAGAGTGGCCATTTAGGGCTTTAAAGGTTGGCACCAGCATTTTGAATTCTGCCCGGAAAAAGACTAGTAGACAAGGCAGCTGTTTCAACGGGAAGTCACGTGATCCCTGTAATCAGTCCGGTCAATGGCCTGGCTGCAGCATTTTGAACCTACTGTATTTTCAAACAGTTTCCAAAGGACATTCCACTGATATATAAACCTCACTTGTCTAGTTTCCAATTGACCTCACAACCTCTGAGGATGCCTGCTATAGATGTGGGTGAAACGCAAGGAGAGAATGCTTCTGGAACATAGTCACACAGCCCGGAAAACTCATGGCCACCCAGTTTCCAAAGGCAGTCTAAGTAGAGTGTATTAGAACAGCCAAAATGAGATGTAATCAAGGCATATGCCATCCTAGCCAGATCTGACTTCTGAAGAAGCGGATACAGCTGGCACCCTGGTTTGAACTGTGCAAATACCCTCCTTGCTACAGCCAAAACCTAGTGATTCGGATTCACATCTTGAGTCCAGGAACATACCCAAACCATAATCCTGAGATGCCATCCCATCCGGCACAGACTGAAATCCTATGCCCTGATCAGCCTTCCAACTAACCGGGATCATTTGTCTTATCTGGATTTAGTTTCAATTTGTCCATCCTCAACTGACAGCTGATATTGAATACAAGGAGTCCCAAGAATGTGATAAAGACTCCCAAGTTGTAAATATATTGCAAATATTTCAGTAAAATGTAGAATTGTAGAACCACAGAGCCGGAAAGTACCACCAGCACCATCCATTCCCATTTCAACCTGGGGGAGATGCAGACCAGATGCCTCACTTAAAAGTCGCCAGGAAAAGGGCATTTACTATTTTTTGCCCACATGGCAGAAAGATTTGTGAAAATGTTGAGCTTTTAGAGAGATTCCTCGAAAACTACATTGGACTGATTAGAGAGCATCTAGTGGGTGGCAGGGGAGAGAAGTAGCCCATGGTAAAGCAATGGTTGAATGGAAAGCCTATGAATGGCTGTAGAGCAGTGTTTCCCAACCTTTTTTTGACCAGAGACCACTTGATCAGAGACCATTCTCCAACATTAGTACCAAAAGGGTTACGAATCAGTTTTTGATCAACTTTAAATTTGGTTTGGTTATTTGGGGTGCTGATTCAGAAAACTGCATTGGATAGACCACAACAGCTCTAGTTTCTAATATAGAACATATGCAATTCAGTAGTCACTTCCAGGCACCACATGGAATGGCTCCTCTCAAGTGAAGGGTGAATGAGGAGAAACAGCAGTCAGGAGGCTTGTTGTCGCACATTTTGTGTGTTGCCAACCTCTTCCCTCCCAACATTCCTGTTGCCTCGGCACTATAAGAGGGTTTCACGAAACCAGTCACTCTCGTTGCAACGATGTATTAACAAAGAGGTTGTGGGCCATATTTTAGTTCTTGGGGACCACTGGTGGTCAATGGTCCACAGGTTGGAAACCACTGATGCACAATATAGATATCTTTTTAAAATATGAGTGAGAATGTGCATGCATGAGCCTTCTGTGTTTGCACAATGTGAGCCTTCTTATGTTTGCACAACGTGAATGAAGAGAAAGCAGTAGTTTTAAGTGGCTTGCATTCAAGTTACAACATATTGTCTTTTAGAATCACTGCCACAGCAATCATTTGCTGAACGTTTACCTCTTCACCCCGTGACGACCTTTCTACAATGAAACTCATGCTTTCATTTAATTTCAAATGGAAAATTACTTAGGGAACCCTTATATAGATGTTAAAGTAAATGGATTGGTCATCTTTAGTCTGACTCAATATAAAGCAATTTATTTTGTTGCTATGAGTGTATAGTGCTGGCTGAGTGCTTTCCTGAAGCTGCATTTTCACTTAAGTAAATAGGTTGCAGTTATCTGATTTTTGGCAATTTTCTTCTTTACTTCACCATAATTCAGGGGGATCATGTAACTCTTGAAGGAGCCTTCAGGGAAATATGCAAAGAGAAAAGTTTAGTCCTTCTATATGCACATTTATTTGGATCCAACCTTTTCTTAAAGGGAAATCTTTCACATTGCAATACAAATCTTGTGGCAAGAACCAACATTGTAGAGTTGATGTAGCATTGAAGAGATATGAAATCCAGGTTGAAAATGCACTCTGCAATAGAAAATTGGCCAAACCCACAACTTTACAGGGTTGTTGTGAAGATTTTTCAGAAGGGGGATCAGGTACACCAACCCAAGCTGCTTGGAACTATGAAAGTGACAAATATGGGAAATTGTGTTGCTTCATTTCCTCTGTAGAACATACACATGCATTGAACAGAATCTGACTAAAAATTGTTGCAGTGGAAAATACACCAACATGACAATTTATAATAATACTTAAGAAACACCTCCCCCATACCAGTCCAAGTAATGTGAGCATGCTTAATTATATTTGATATGAAATATAAAAGTGTCTGTTATGTTTACATTCTCCACAACACAGGGCTTCATTTTATAGTTGACTATAGTGGCCTTCTTATTTCCCTTATCATTTATATTATCTCAGCCCGTATCAACTCTAATGTAAGACAACCCTGTCAAGCAACATCAGATTGTATATGAGAGGAGTTATTAAAGATTTTCCCTGACCCACTTTTATTTATCATAGGATGCTGAAACTGCCCATGTGTAATGATGTAAGTCTCTTTAGGTTAAGTGCCAATTTACAACTCAGAACTGATAACGGACTTGATTTTACAAGTGCTGAAGTGATATGAGGTTTGATAATGGACCCAGTGGAATACAGAGCAGTAATCAAGTTCCTTTACTTGAAAGGCCACACACCATAGGAGAGGTTTGATGAAATGAAAGATGTTTATGGTGAAGATTCCCCATCATGTGATGCAGTCAAGAACTGGCATCATCAATTCAAATGTGCTTGGACTTCGGTGCGAACAGCTCCAATTCCATTAAGTGGAGGTCACCATTTTGGAAAATCACTGCATAACCATTCACCAACTAGCCCCAAATGTCAAGATTAGTGTGTGTGTGGGGGGGGGGGGAATCATCCAAGACCATCTTCACATGCATAAGGTATCCGCTCGCTGCCCCCCACCCCCGGGCTGCTCACACCTTTCCAGAAGCAGGAATGAGTTGAATGCTCTCAGGCTCTATTGATTATGTTCCATGGAAACCAGGAGGACTTTTTCAAAAGACTAATTACACTGGATAAAAGCTGGGTGCATCACTATGAAACTGAGACTAAAGTCCAGTCGATGCAATGGAAGCAACCTGATTCACCACCTCCAAAGAAGGCACGTGGCCAACTCTCCGCAGGCAAGATCATGCTTACAGTATTTTGGCACCAGCACAGAGTAGTATTGATGGATTTCCTAACAAAGGGTGCCATGGTCACTGGGACATACTTCACTGCTGCGGAAACTGCAGGAGGCCATCAAAACCAAGAGACGTGGCATGCTCAACAAAGGTGTCCTCCTTCTGCAAGACAATGCACCAGTTCACAACTCACATGTTGTTGCCCAAATGGAAGCAAGCTCCTTTGGCTTTGACATTTTCCCACATCCCTCTTATTCACCCAATCTCGCACTTTTTTTGAAGGGAAACATTTTTCAGATGATGCGATACTGATTTCTGAAGTCACAACGTGGCTTTTGGACCAACCCATCGACTTCTACAAGTAAGGTGTTTACAGTTGCTTTAAAAAATGGGAGAAGTATGAGTCCCTAGGTGGCACCTAGGTAGAGAAGGACTAATAACTGTGCCAAGTTTCATTGCTCTCGGTCCATAGGAAGTGGGTCAGGAGAAATGTTTAATGGATGCCCCTCGTAGCGCTTGACAAAGAGGCTGCATTCATACATGGCTCAGTTTAGCATAGTGCCTGCTCGTGGACCTATTGAACCATTAAAGCCCTCTTCACAGTGACTCTGTGCCTGGTGGGAGCAGGGTCATCACAGAAGTGTCTGGCTATGTCTCATTTGCCGGACATGAAGCAATTTCACCCACCAGTATCCTTCACCGTTCAGAACATTTTTCATTTACCACCTGACTATGAGGACATAGCCAGATTCCTCTGCATACTCCTCAGTCCTCCTGGGAGAGGCTTCTATTATAGGTCTAGGGGAAGTGGGGGATATTTGGGTTGCTCTGGGTGTGGAAAAACACGACCCCGACCTCTGCAGCTTCCAAAACAGACATACACAGACGTATGATTAATACATGCTTGCAAACCAGAATGTGTATGTTGGTGAGTATCAAGCATACTTAAGTTTAAAAACACAAAATATGTAGTTTGAAATGCTGAAGGTCACACTGCAACTCTTAATGGACACAAAGAAAGCAAGGTAGAAATCCAAACAGCAAATCCAGGCCACAAAATATAGGCCAAGAGCCGCTGGTAAAGCTCTTGGCCACTCCTTGTTAATTATAGAAGCATTTAAACCATCTTCTAAACAACTTTTTCTTCTTCCTGTGACATTTGGACACTTACTGCTTTCGATTAATGCCACTCCACACAAATCATTTTTGCTAAATAGAAGTAACTCACTTTATATAACAGAGAAATATGTTTTTGGATGCAATATCAAAGGTCTCTTTTGCGAAGGGCACACTTGTTTTGAAACCCACTGCAGATTTCAAATACGAACCTAATATATACATCCTGCCATTTCCAGAACTGTCGGCGTACATGCAGTTGGCTCTTTTTACTACACAGCAATTATCTCAAAGGTCATATGAACGGAGTCTTCAAAATCATTGGAATTTGACATTTTAGCAGGCAACATTTTTGCCAGGCACTAAGGGAATATAGTGATCCAATATAAATAATATGTTGAAAACAACAAATATGCCTGTGGGAAAATAAATTTTCACTTCAAACTTTTGGGCTTTTATTCTATTTGAATCATTAATGCTATGCTGTTTATAATATGATGGCTGGCATTGTACAGTGGTTTGAGCACTAGACTACAACTCTGGAAACATGTTGAAGGCTTTCATGGCCAGAATCACCAGGTTGCTGTGAGTTTTCCGGGCTGTAATGACCATGTTCCAGAAGCATTCTCTCCTCACGCTTTGCCAACATCTATGACAGGCATCCTCAGAGGTTGTGAGGTATATTGAAAACTAAACAAGGGAGGTTAATATATCTGTGGAAGAAAGAACTCTTGTCTGTTGGAGGCAAGTGTAAATGTTGCAATTTTTATCACCTTGATTAGCATTTACAAAGCCTTGCAGCTTCAAGGCCTGGCGAATTCCTGCCTGGGGGAATCCTTTGTTGGGAGGTGTTAGCTCGCCCTGATTGTTTCATGTCTGGAATTCCCGTTTTCAGAGTGTTGTTCTTTATTTACTGTCCTAATTTTAGAGTTTTTTAACACTTGGGCAAATCACACACTCTCGGATCATAAGTCACAAATAACTTGGAATCACATAGGAATGCCTTGCAATGTAGGGATTTTAATTTTTGAAAGAAAAAATATATTTTGAAACAGTGTATTAATAATTTATTTGCTGGGTATAAAACAAAAGAAAAAAGCCTATGTTCAGTAGGCTTTTCTTATTTATAGAATCAGAGTTGGAAGAGTCTTCGTGGGCCATCCAGTCCAACCCACTGCCAAGAAGCAAGAAAATCGCATTCAAAGCACCCCCCAACAAATGGTCATCCAGCCTCTAATTAAAAAACTCCAAAAAAGGAGCCTCCACCACACTCCAGGGCAGAGAGTTCCACTGCTGAACAGCTCTCACCGTCAGGAAGTTATTCCTAATGTTCAGGTGGAATCTCCTTTCCTGTAGTTTGAAGCCATTGTTCCGCATCCTAGTCTCCAGGACAACAAAAAATAAGTTTGCTCCCTCCTCCCTATGACTTTCCTTCACATATTTACACATGGCCTCCTCTCAGCCTTCTCTTTTGCAATCTAAACATGCCCAGCTCTTTAAGCCACTCCTCATAGGGTTTGTTCTCCAGACCCTTGATCATTTTAGTTGCCCTCCTCTGGACACATTTCAGCTTTTCAACATCTCCCTTCAATTGTGGTGCCCCAAACTGTACACAGTATTCCAAGTGTGGTCTGACCAAGGCAGAATAGAGGGGTAGCATGACTTACCTGGAACTAGACACTATACTCTTCTTCCTTCTGTTAATGAATGCAGCAGAAACATGCAGACAAATGAGCTCAAATCTTTTTGAAAAAATATCTGAATTTATTCAGTTAGTTTATCAAATATGGACCCAATCCAGATTTAAATATGGAACCACTTCACAAAGCTTTAATTCTTTATATCTATTCCATGAATAGCTTTAGCAACAAGTGTGAATACTTGAGAGATTCACAAGTATTCTGCTTTTCAATACATAATGTCTCTAACCATGATAAATCTTTTGAGCAACAAAGTGAACTTTTGTTTTAAAATCAAGGTTATTCTTTACATAACATTTGTTTACATTATGAACATCAGCTGGTTTACGAGAGTTGACTGGGACTTACTCCCAGCTCTGAGCACAGGACTGCGGAAAAGCGCCTATTTCTCACTCTTGAGATAAATATCACAAAACACTAACAACTTTTAGAAGGATGACACTTTGCTAGCTGTAAGCTAAAGCTGCACCCAATATAGCAAAGACCACAGGGCCTTGTATTAGTATATATTAAAATACACAGTATTCATACTAAGTGCTGCACAGCAGAAAGAATAGGACTTTAAATCTGGTGTAAGTTATCATCATACATGGAAAAAAGTGACATCAACTTTGCCTTCCTTTGCACCCTGTATAAAGCTCATTACATTTTTGGCATCGATCCATACTCTGTTCTTAAATTTTAGTAGAACTTGGCAAAAATAGTTTGTGATCTATAAATCCCAGAATCTCATACCCCAGCATGGCCAATGGTCATGGCAGCTGTGGTATTATGGAAGCTGTAGTCCAAAAAGTAATCTCCTAATTTCCAAGTTTTAGAAATGAAAAACAGAACGCTTTAGTGGGCATCAGCATCTGAAAAAAGCCAATATATGTCAAGTACTCTGAAGCGGATATTCTCCTATATTAACTATAAATATAAAACCTTTTATCTACATCTTTTATGGTATCTGAAAGAGCACATGGCATGACTTTTTAGCATGGAAAACATCCCTAAGATGGTATCTTTATGGTTCTCTCTCAATCTCTTTCTCTCATGCAGGCACAGATTTTTCAGTTAAGGATCTATTTGGAAGGAAGCAGATTTCTGTTATGATGCTTCTGATTTTCAAAATAAAAATCCAATTAGATAGTATAACCAATATTTACATTAAATAATTACAATTCATATGCCTACATTGCCTGCAATACAAAGCAAATATAAAACCCAAGACAAACACAGAAATACAACATTTTATGCAATTGTTCCTTTTTTCAAAGATGGAAGCGTAGCTTCTGCTGATTGGATTTCCAATATTTCTGGACAAGAGTCTTGTGTTTCTCAAGATCAGAAGAAAAATCTGGCTAGCTTTTGCTGCCCTGCTGCTGCTGCAAGTGAAGTTGTAAGATCAAGTCTCTAATTTCTTCCCGCTTGCTTCGTACTAATTGGCGAGGGAACCATCGCTCCAAGCGCATTGGGAACTCAAAGTTAACAATAGGGTTCTGATGATTTAAGAGGGAGAAAGATGTTAGAATGTTATTCTGAAGATTAAAGTCAAATATCACCGTCTCTTTGCAAAGATCTCAGATGTCTCTAACGTTTAAAATATGTTATCTGAAGGAGAAATACAGCCAACCCTCCACATATCCTGGGGTTAGAGGCAAAAAATCACCATGAAAATGAAAAACCACAAATAAAAAATTACTATTTTATTACCCAGGAAGCTGACTGTTCTCTCTTGAAATCTCTAAGTCAGGTCTGCATAGCTTAGGCCCTCCAGGCACTTTGGACTTCAGAATTCCTGACTACTGGATAAGCTTGGTAGGGCTTCTGGGAGTTGGAGCCCCAATAACCTGGAGGGCCACAGGTTGTGCAGACCTGCTCTAACTCCTCCGGTATGACTGGAGAAAGTTGGCCAAAGAGTCACACTTGAGGATTCAGAAATCCCTAGAGAGGAATTTACCCAAATCCATGAATAATCAAATCCATAAAAGTAAAAAACAAACAAAACACAAAGGGGGGAGGAAGACTGTATATATTATCAAACTAAAAACAGTAAATATTTCAGTGTTGTTATGAAAATAGCAGTTCAACGATGGATGGAATTGTGATTGCTGAATCAGCAAGTAACTAACCCATATGGAGGGCCCTGGGACAGAACAGACCCATGTACTAAACATTATACTGGAAGACATTACAGATATATGCTTTGTTAAAGGTTTTTTTCTGGAATTATGAAACTACAAGCCTGAAGGGCTTTAGCATCATCTAGTCAAATTTCCAAGCAGACTAGTTTGATTCAAACCAAGAAAAATCAGTTCTACCAAGCTGGTCAATCCTATATCAATTATATTTTTTAAAAAACTGATTCAAGACAGATATAAGAACAGAATGCATAATAATGGACTGAATCTATAATTCCTCATAAAAATAAGTGGAACCTATCAAAACTGACTGGCCTTTTCAGACATTGATTTCCCAGAAAAGTTAAAAACAAAACAAAACAAAAAAATCTTTGTACCTGGAAGAAAGTTTCTACATATTGCAGTAAATATACTCCACAGTCACTGCTATTATCTTGTTTAGGGACTCTTGGATAGAAAGCCACCATCGCAGATTTGTTGAACTCCCGATGTGTTTTGCATTTTGCTTCCCATTCTGCTTCTAGATATCTGTAATAAAAGTGGTGGGGTGAATCCGAAGTTAGTTACCCTTAGGTCCCATTTAAATCAATGTGAAAAGTTAAGTCATAGCTGACTGAAACTTCACATGTCAATAGGACCTAAATATTACTAAAGGTAAAGGTAAAGGTTTCCCTTGACATTAAGTGTAGTCGTGTCTGACTCTGGGAGCAGTGCTCATCTCCATTTCTAAGCCAAAGAGCCGGTGTTGTCCGTAGACACCTCCAAGGTCATGTGGCCAGAATGACTACATGGAGCGCCATTACCTTCCTGCATTAACTCCTAAAAGCAGTACCTATTAATCTACCCACATTTGCATGTTTTTGAATTGCTATGTTGGCAGAAGCTGGGCCTAACAGCGAGAGCTCACCCTACTCCCCAGATTCGAACCACTGACCTTCTGGTCAGCACATTCAGCAGCTCCGCAGTTTAACACGCTGTGCCACCACTCACCTAAATCCAACACACTCTTTGGATACTTGAAAAATAATTAAGAGCCATGTTTAAACACTTGGTTATTTTTTTTAAAAAAAATAACAACCCTTTGTTGTTTAAAGATTCAAGAATGGTGCACAATCACTTTGTACTAAAATATAATGGAACAACAGGAGAAATCTTGACCTATTAAAGCGTTGTTTCAGGTTTATCTGTTGTTGTTTTGTTTTGTTTTGTTTTTTTAAAAAACATTAAATCCTGGATAATCAAGAATATTTTATTGATGGCTGAAATACTCTCTGCCAAGAAAATAGTTTCAATAAAGAAGATAGCTGGGCAATGGTCCCAGAAGCAGAGGTCGCTGAAACATTGGTCAACTTTATTTATTTTAGCTTGGATAGTATCTTGCATGTTCAATTTTGTTTCATACAGCCTTACTGTATAGATGTTTATAACATACCTAGCCTTATTACACAAATATTTACAATCAGACCACCCTAAAAAATTTCATGTGAAATCTTGCTTCTTAAATCAGGACAGAAAATTGCTCATCTTGAACATTTAATGATGACGCAAGGAAAATGCAGGTGGGCAAGCTATGCAATCTTCTAAGAGACAAATCTTATGCTTTTTGGCTCATGGGAGGGGAAACATTCAGGGTCTAAGAAACACAAAGCATCATGGGACAGGATTTCCACATGTTATAATGGAGAATCTCTTGTCCTATAAATTAATTCAACATAATCTGTTAAAATGCAGAATCAAATAAAAAGCTACTCACTCTCTCAAGACCTGAACTGTATTCCATGAAGAGCTTGCCTTCAGAGAATCTAAGATGAGGATGCATGGCCTACATAAAAGGGGGGAAAAACTATTTTCAGTTTCCACTGCTCAGTAGTTCAATTCTTATTTGTTCTATTCCAAATTTCAGCTGAAATTTAAAACTGTTATTAAGAAGTTAAGAAAAGCTAATTTAGTTGTTGCTTTGTGCCTTCGGGTCATTTTTGATTAGTGGTAACCCTAAGATGAACCTCTTGCAGGGTTTTCCTGGCAAGACTTGCCTTCCTCTGAGGTTGGGAGAACATGACGTACCATATTCACCCAATTTTCAATGACTGAGCAGGGATTCCATCCCTAGTCTCCCCCTAACCAACATTCAAACCACTACTCTGTGCTGGCTTTTTTACAAACTACATTGCATTGACTTATTATTACTCATGCAAATGCTTACCGTTTACAAAGTTTCTTGTTTTTGGAATTGTTTGAAGAGCTCTGTAAAAAAATTGGCAAATCAGAAGAAGTAAATTAAAGTTTCATAAATAATCTCAGGAATCCTTTCTCTCTCTAATAGGATAGATGTTAGGCCAGGGCTGATGCTGCCTTTGGGAGGACTTAATAGTTTTCCTATTTCACATAGCATCTGGGAGACAAGTATTTTCCTAATCTGCAGCATGACACTCCTGCCACCTATGGTTAGCAGCTTGCTAGTCTCTCATTTGTGTGCGTTAGAGACCACAAAGAAGCAAAACTGTGTTCTATTAGCCAACAAAAATATTTCAAAACAAATACTGAAAAGCTTGCCTTTCTACGCCCCCAAGTGCACTGCAGTTGTTTAATAGAGCTGTGACATAGTTATTATAGCAAGCAATTGCTTTCAGCCATCAATTTGTTTTTGCAATTATTTTCTCTATTTTATGACTCGTGGTCTGGACAAACAGCAAAAACAGCTACTGCATCATTAATTGAACGCCCTAAATGATTTGAGGCCATGATATCAGAAAGACCACTCTTCCTGTATGAGCCTGCATGTTCTTAGGAGGAGGTCCTTTTGCATGTCCCAATACCTTGTGAAGTTGGGTTGATGAGTATATGTAACAAGGCTTTATCTGTAGCATTGCTGTGAAATTGACTTTCACTGGAGATTAGATTGTTCTCCCTCCTTCATGATCATGTAAAGACCTTTTTTATTTAAACAGGCATCTGGAGATTAGATTGTTCTCCCTCCTTTATGATCATGTAAAGACCTTTCTTATTTAAACAGGCATCTGGTGATTAATTGGTTGTGGTGAGTCCTTTTTATTCTACAATAAGACTCCTGTACCCACAAAAGCTACATTGCAAAACCCACTGTGTAGATCTGAAACTGCAGATAACAACAAACCTTATATTTTGACTTGGGTCAGAAGCATACTGGAGAACCTAGGAGGGCCACAAAGATTTAAGGGCAGGGGTGAAGTTTTGAACATGGATAAGTGATCCATGAATAAAGGGTTTGTACTATTATATATTTTTTATATTCAACCACGTTTTAATATGATAGCTTCATAATTTACTTTTTTGACTTTTCACTCATCAGATTTTTATCTCTGGCTTGTTTTAACTGTATTATAAATCAATTATACTCCAGTGTTAGGAGAAATAAAGCAAACTTTGATATTTTCCCATGCATGCAGCCTCTTCATTCCTCCTGTCAAGTGTAGGAAGAATCCAGAAATTCTTTCCAGTCCTTCCAAACCAGGAAACCACAATTATATGTACATTTAATACCTCAACTTATTTCAGTTTCCTGCCACGGCAAAATCAGGAAGGAAGGTTCATTAAATATGGTTTTATTGCTTATACCACAAAGAGAGTGAAGGAGCCGCATGCACAAACAAAATGATTATACTTTAGCATAGTAAATCAAAATAGAGAGTATTAATAAGGTCAAAGGCACTTACTTTGGACATACTGGAATCTAATCCTGGAGATACAATTGCTGGTTGAACATCTAGAAGTTAAAAAAAAAAAACCCCAGTGTTATGGGGTTGGGCTTATACTCAAAATGTATGGCATGAACAAAACTATACCTTACCCTCGCTGTATATTTTAAGAACAATAATCTAACCACAATAGCATCAAAGTATAAAACTAATATCTATAACAAGTAAGCCAGGGAGGGCATGGTCTACCCAAAATACTGCTGCAGCACGCAGCCTGAGAAATGCTGCTTAAAATATGCAGACGTTCCAATTACAATAGCTTGTTGCAACCCTTATATAGGTCTTGTTAAATAGGTAGTACAGTAGATGGTTTGAAGGCCCTCTAGTGAAGATTATGGCTGTGGAAAGATCTGAATTGGACAGTTCCTGATTGACTGCCCAGTCTCTCAGCTAAAATACAACTACCAATAATACTATTAAGACTACTACTACTACTACTACTACTACTACTATTTACACCCCATTTTCCCCAGGACTGGGACTCAAAAGTAGCTCTCGACATAAAAAGCATATAAGCTTCACCTGCTTTTGTGGTTATTGACAATGCCACAATAAAATCCTACTGATTTCAATGGATCAATTCTTATATTGACTGTTTAAGGTGTAATCATGAGCATTAAATTTATTTTTTGCAGTGTATGTCGGCTACAAATTGTTCTCCGAAACCAAAGGCTTATCTAAAATTCACCTACTGACGTGTATGAGAGCTGTATGTTGTTTTTCACCCCGCCCCCAAAACCATATAACATTATCCAGCATATGGTCTTCTCCTTACCACTGGCTTGTAGGTTGCTGTTTATGCATGGTTCCTCTTTATTACTCCAGGAATCATTGAAAACCAAGACACTTTCTGTTCTAACATCCTCAGTTTTAGTTTCTGTCTGATGTGGAGCTTTCTGGAAGTTTGACTGAAGTGAACACTGGTCTGGAGAGCCTTCATATATAACTTCTTCTAGCCACGGGAAGCAAATGATTGCAATGTACCAATGTGACCTGGTAAGAAAAGGGAGAAAAGTTCAGGATTGGCTATTCTGATAGGAATGAACAAATGAATTAATGAAGGCACTATGAATGTGCTGTCATTCCCATTAAGACACAGTAATCAAGGTGCTCATTTTGTAGGAAACGATCCTGAGGCCATTGCTCCCAGTTTTTTCATTATCATCATGATGCCTAATTAAATGATACCCAATTACGTAATTAATTACAATAATTTTAACCACAGGCACACCTCAGCTAACAAAGTCTATGGTAAAGAAGCTACTTTTTACAAAATCTGTTTATACCTGTCTAGTCCTTTTTCTTCTTACTGCCTTGTCTAGCTCAAAGTGTTTTAGTTGCATCAGCATTAGGATGTTGAAGGAGAGCTTGAGAAACAGATTAATATCAGGTTGCAGCAGCTTGTCTGCAGTAAACAATGCAATACATCTTGAGTTGAGAAAGAATGGCGTTTTACTCTATCTGATCTCACTGTAACTGGGTGTACCTGCCTACAACAGGCAAGGTAAACAGTAGTTGCTCTCTTCAGAATTCCTTACTAAGCATGAATGAACACAGAGAAAAAGGAGAAAGCAGATAGGTCTGTGTCAACAGCTACCCCCAACAAGTTTTTTTTACAAAACTCTCTAGGTTTGGTCACCAGAAAAAAGTGGAGGCCAATTAAAAAAGGAAATCATCCTAGCATGCACTTTGTAAAAAACTTTCCAATTGTCTCTAAAAGATTTAAAAGTTTTTGAGAGATTACTGTTTTGTTTTTTTGTTTTTTATTTCATATCTGCATATGATTGATTTGGGGTTAAAGGTTTGCTGAATTATGGGGTTTTTTTGGTCTTCAAATAAATTTTGTTTTCGAAAAAAAAGAAAATTATTATTTTTAACTCAAATGAACAGTAAAAGGGAAAAAGAAGAGGGAAATGGGAAACAAGAGAATGTATAGTATATAAGTTATGGAGCCGTGTTAGTTAAACAGTTTTACAATGAGTGTTAAATCATCGAAGACATGGGGGTGGGGGGGGGGGAGAAGAGGTATGATTATACATATTCTTTAGTATAGGAAAAAGATCAGAGAGAGAAATACGTTGAACTGCTCTTTTTATATGGTATAGGAACCTATGCCTATTCTTYCTGTGTTATTTTTGTCTCTGGTACTAACCTTTCTGTTAGAGAAGCTATATTCAGGAACACATGTACTTTTATTTTTTCTTAGTACAAATTACAAAGACAGAAAAAGTCTGAGGTCTCAATGCAGCAACTTACTCTTCATTCACAGGTACAAAGATGTAGTCTTTACTAAAAATGTTTACATAGCGCGTCCACCTTTTTACTCCTCTATGTCTTCTTTGTGCTATCCTGTATGGATATAAAACAATGGTTACACAGTGCTTGTCAGAGACTGAATGAAATATATTTATTTTTCTGCACATATCAATCATAGGGGTTCTAGACAGTTTTATATGCCATAATACTTAACTGGCAAGATAAGTAAATTCAGCTTTTTGGACAAGCTGTTCAATTGTTCAGAACAGCAGAGCCTATCATCTGAATTATTCCCATGCCCGTGAGATATGCTAGGGAGGAAGTCAGATATGACTGAACGAAACATTACTTTGTGTTACCCAAATATAGGACTGGCTTCAAAAGAAACACAGGCACAAATGCTGAACTGGGAGCCTTCCCTATACATTACTGGGAAAGAATGTCACCCTTTTCATTTGCTCCCCGCCCCCCCCCCCCTCCCCCAAATGCTATGATCTAGAGCAGGGGTATCCAGCTCAATTTCATCAAAGGTCACATCAACTTTACGGTTGCCTTCAAAGGGCCGTTGAATTCATAGATGGAGAACACAGAGAACTAACTACATTTTTTTTTTTACATAGTGGTTGTGTTCTTTAGTTTTTATCCAATTTTGGTCCCCAGCTGTCATGGAACGATAGTTCCCATCACTTTTGATTATATGCCATGTAGACTGGGGTCGGGATAATGGGAACTACAACCTAACAGTACTTGTGGTTTTGAGGTTAAGGAAAGGTCAAAAGACATTTTAGTGTCAGACATCATAGCCACAAGCCTTGCATCTAAATTCAAACCTCACTATCCTGAGTAACAAGAACAAATTGCAGCCTTCCAGATGTACAACATGAGATTTAGTAATGATGTCTAATGATGCTGTAGTCCAGCATCTGGGAGGCCACATAAAATGACATGGTGGGCTGTATTTGGCCTGTGGGTCTTGAGTTTGACACATGTGATCTAGAACACCAGATGAGGCATGATTATTTTAAATACAGATATGTATTAATGCATTTAAATCAATTTCCAGTTTATATGTAAAGTTGTAAAAACTGGACAGTGAAGGAACCTTACATGTAGAGAATCGACTCATTTGAAATTAAATTCTAGAGAAGAGTCATGGAGACACCACAGACTACCAAGATGTCCAATAAATGACTCCTAGCTAAAATGAAGTCTGAACTCTCTCTAGAAGCTGAAGTGACTGAACTGAGACTATCGTGCTTCAGTTTTATCACAAAATGGCATGATCTGTGGAAAAGACAACAATGTTTGGTAAAGTACAAAGACCTGACCAGGGCAACTGATGACTGAGATCCTTAGATAGCTCTCATTCAAAAGATACCATAAGTTAAAGTTGCCTCAACAACAATTAAACAACAAAGAACATTTAAATACAACTTACGAAAGACTTGGATCTTCTTCTGAGTTTTTTTCTGTCCTGGTCAGGCACTTATAGAAGAAACTGCTAAATATATGTGAGCGGTCAGCAAGTTCTTTGGGAGTCTTTTCCAATAACAGATACCTACCAAAACAATAAAAGATGGCTAGGTTTCTTAATCTGAAACCTTTTCTAGTCCAGCTTATTTCCATTAACTCACAACTGTGCTGACAACACAGATTCTTCAGACTATATTGCTGTGCACTATTTTAAGAGACCATTTTCCTTGTAAAGGAAATAAAATCAGTCTCAATGCTAAAACTTCATTTGCCCCCAATGTCTATTGTCCTGGCATTAAGTGGTAAAAGACTGCCTTGATATCAAGCAGACACCACTAGAGAACAAAGTGAAAATATCATATTATTTACCGAAGGTAAAAGTCAATGATCACATCATTCAGGTATTCTCCATATTCTAAACATTCCAAATCCTCTTTTGTGACACCTAGTCCCCCTTTGGCAGGTGGAGGAGGATAAATGATCAAGCTGGAAGACAAAAATGACAATAAACATTCTGGAAGTCCAAGGCTTAAGACAAGTGAAAGGAAAGTATGGATCTGGTCCTACTGATGTTTGTGGGCACATACTAAACCAGTGGTTCCCAACCTGTGGTCCGTGGACCACTAGTGGTCTGCAAGAATAAAAATATGGTTTGTGGCCACACCGTTACTACACCATTGCCTCAAAACCACGTGGCAACAAGAACGACTGGTCTCGCAAAACCCTCTTATAGTGCCATGGCAACGGGATGTCGGGAGGGGAGAGGCTGACTACCCTCAAAAGATTACTACGACCACATCAGCTCTAGATTATGAAATATGGCTTTCTGTGGGTGAGCAGATGGCAATTACTGAAAGGCATATGTTCTGTATCAGAAACTAGAGCTGATGTGGTCTGTCCAATGCAATTTTCTGAATCAGCACCCCAAATAACCAAACTAAATCTAAAGTTGACCAAAACCTGATCTGTAACCCTTTTGGTACTAATGTTGGAGAGTGGTCCCTGGTCAAAGTGGTACCTAGTTTTTTTAAAAAAAAAGGCTGGGAATCACTGCTCTAAACCCTCTTTTCTGTAGTGGTGAGGCTAGTGTGATCTGGGAAAGGAATAATAGTCTAGAATTCTGCTCTCATGGATAGATCATCAACCAGTGTTTAGTATTTGCTGGGACTTGGTCTCTTTGTAGGATGGGAGACACATTGAGATGGTCTCCACAAGAAACTTGTGGATCCTAATGGGTTCTTGATGGCTTTTGGGAAGTTTCCGGCTCTGTTGACATGATTCTGTCACAGCCTTAAGCTGGTATAACACTAGAACTGAAAGAGCAGGCAATGCATACTGCCTTTTGAGCACATGTACCATGATAATCTACAGCAATTAATTAAGTTGTCCTCCAACTTCTGGATATTTCAATATCATGTAAATAAACATACTTTTTTATAGGGCCATTTTCTGTCAATTCCTTCCATTTGTTCATTTTCGTCGAAGAAAAAGAAAAGGAATATAGACCATTACTTTGCTTCTGCAGTAGAGTGTAATTGGGTTTGGCAAGGATAGCCTTTGATTCCTGCTAGAAAGAAAGAGAATATGTTCAAAATCAACCATATGTTCAGCCATTAATTGTATAAGAGAATGCAAGTAGGACCAATGAAATTGTAATGCTGGTTGCAAGAAACAGCTCATGATCTTAATTCAGTTAGATATTTATTGTCTTTCACAAAATCTGTAATTTGTATTGGAAGATCCATGATAAAATAATCTCTATCACTTGCCTACCTTTCAACCCTTATTTTAAATTTCTGGTATGTGTGTCTTCTGCCTATAACCCCTATCTGCCAATCATGCCATCTCAAAATGCACGCAGAAGAAAGACATCTTCTCATCCTGATATTTCTAACACTGACATTCAGCAGCCTGAAGTAATATCTTCCTGTTATTGATTTTAAATTTTTCCAAAATGATTACCAAAGAAGCTGATGGATACCCATTTTGTAAACATTTAATCATGATTTTTATTTTTAAAAATAACAAAAGAATATAGTTTATGCTATCTGTTGGAATGGTCCTGATTACATTACAAAACTTTAACTGATCAAAGGGTAACCTAGCAGTTAACTGATTGCACATGGCAAGACTAAGACAGCACCTTCCTGTTCATGCTCCCCAGCAAATGGTGTACCACTGATACAAATGGTATTGGAGGGAATATATAGCAGTAATTACAGGTAACCACCTCCATCCTCCAGAAATGTACTCAATCCTGTTTTAAAGCTGTTGAAGTTGGACATTAGGAAGAACTTCCTGACTGTAAGAGCTGTTTAGCAGTGGGGCTCTCGGCCTTGGAGTGCAGTGAAAGCTCCTTCTTTTGAGGCTTTTAAACAGAGACTGGATGACCATCTGTCATGGATACTTTGTGCTTTTCCTGCACAGCAGCAGTAGGACTAGATGTCCATGTGGTGTCTTCCAATCCTATGATTCTATGATCACCACTACTACTTCTGGTGGCAAAACCAACACTTAAACTATGCATTGTCTAGAGAAATACCTCCTTCTATCTGCCCTGAATCTTCCAATGTTCAGATTCAATAAATAACCTTAATTTCTACTATTACACGCATCTCCATTACATCTCCTCTTACTTGCCCTACTTCAGTTTTATTTTAAGTTCCTTATTATTATGTCCAGCATCCAATCTGAGTTTCTTGTGTCAGTTGTACATATCCATCACAACTCCAAGGGTTTTTTTTCTTACTTAAGACACTGCCAGCTTAGCATTAATGTCTATGAAGCTAGATTTCCCCCCCTGATATACATAACTTTATACTTGTTTACACTAATTTGCCATACATATATTCTCATGATTTGGATAAAGGCTTTAGATAAACTGTGTACTTTGTTTTTTTACTATACTATATAAAATTTTTAAATTATTCAGCATCATCAGCAAACCTGGCCAAAACATTATTTATCCCTTAATTCAAGATAATTTATAAACAGGGACTAGATCTATAATATCAAAGTTGTAAACGCACTGAGGCTAGTGAGAACTTAAGTTCACAAAAAACATACTACTTAATTTTCAAACAGAGGAAAAAATATGTCCTGACAAACTTCTTAATCTGTAATGTGCTACAAGATGTTTGTTCCAACTGATTAAACACAGCTACACCTCTAATATAGTTGTAAAGATTCTGAGATGTAAGCATTAAAGCTGTTAAAAATGCAGAGAGTGTTCTCACTGGCAAATTGGAGTTTTTGTGTAAATTTTTCACAATTCTTCTTAACTGAAATGTTTCAGTTGAGACTAATTTACCTGTGATGGCTGCTTTGTTGGCATGGATGCATTGTCCTTTTGTAATTGCAGCTGAAATGACTGATAGCAATAATTCATGAAGGCGTTTTCTTCCCATGAAATTTCTTTTACAGCTTGCTCCCAAAGTAAGGATTCAGTGAGTTCTGGGGACATGTTTTTCTTGCTCACTTCCACAATTATTTTGTTCAGCATGACAAACTCCTCTTCTGAAAGTGGCTCAGGCATTAAAATAAAAATGAACTCAGTGTTTTTGTCTGTAAGAAGAATAAACAATATTTTCGGGGGGGGGGGAGGGTGTTAGAATGCTACTCTTGGTTTTATGCAGCTACTTTATAAAAGAATTATAAAAAAATATTAAAATGTTTATAAGGTTTTCAAATTTACCTGATACAAAACCCCCGACAGCAAATGAATTATGGTAGAAACATACAAAGGTTTGTTCTTTTTAGCGTAGACATTTTTTTATTATCCTACATACCCATTTGTAAATTAAGTAAAAAATATGGACTGACTTAATCATGTGTCCAGGCACCTTAACACACACACACACACACACACATATACACACATATATACACACCATCACCATTTGTGAGTAGAGTGGTGAAAGGCAAGAGGAGAACCCAATGGGTTTATGGATTTTGTTGCGTCTCAAAATCCATAAATTTGGCCTCCAAACCTGTCCTCAATTTATAAAAGAGGTTGGTTTATACATTATATAGTTTATATAGCTAAATCTAAATGCTGTTAATATATAACTGCACAATGTACACATTTCTAAGAAAGCCTAAATACATTTTAATTAACTACACACCTTGCTTGTTTAAGATGGAAGTTCCTCTTTCCTTTTCAATCCGTTTAATGTAATCTGGTGACAGCCAAAGGAAAAGAATAGCCTCACTCCCCAGATCACTGTTCATCCACAGCCCAAACCTTCTTAAATGCAGTAAATCAAGTGACAGTTCCATTTTCTTCCCAGGGTCCACTGCAAGGAAAAATAAAATAAAATCAATAGCAACATAAAAGATTGAATTGATCCCACAATTGGAACATTACGATTTTCCATAACAATAATAACTCTAGGTAACATCTCATTCCCAAATTATTTGATTGGAGGGATTAGGGAAGTGCGAGGATCTTTCCATTGGCGGAGAGGAGTCTTTGATATACTTACTTATGAAAAGTTCTACCAGTGTAGAACTACTGCAAATATACCTCAAAATGTGACGTTCTGGAGGAAGATTGCAAGAAACTTTGGACTTGATGGGTTCAAAGTCCCATTCCACCCACACCCTCATTTTCCTCCTACAGGCCAAATGACCCCTTATGTAAACTAGTGTATAACTGACAAAAGGAATCCCCTAATCCTTGAAACCCATGAAAGAAAAACAAAAACAAATAAAGAACTTCTGGGTTGGGGAGGTATTCCAAGCAAGTTTACTCTAAAATGTGACCTAGTAGGGCTTTGAAAATGCCAGATTATTACTTCATTCACCAAACTCCAGTTTTGGACTGCTCATAAACAAGTTTTAAACTATAAATGGAAATTAATCAAATCTGTCATATTTGAAATATATATTCTTCTCAACTTGGATCCTAAATATCTTAAAAAATCAACTTTTCTTTCAAAAATAATAATTCAAATTTAACAAGTCTGGTATTTTACAAAGCATAGTTCTTTATATCATTTATTAAGTGCATACATACATACATTTACACCAGGTCAGGCTACTGCTCTATTTAGTCCAGCACTGACTGCTTTGGTTTGCCAGAATCTTAGGCAAAGTGTTTTTGCTGACTGGTTCATTCATCTTGAACAAGAGATGCTCAATATTGAACCAAGCAGCTTTTGTAGGTGAAGCATATACTCTACCACTATTTCTGTTATAACAGTATTCTAATCTGTTAAGACTACAATTACTATAGTTTTCCTGGTAATGCTGGTTGAGGCTGCTGCAAATTCTAGGCCAAAGGAACAAAATTTCCAATTCCAGCTGTAGAAATAGTTTGGATTAGGTATTCGAATTTTATGGTTCAAAACACCTTTAAGAGCACCTTTTGATTTTATACCAACAGCTTACATTAAAACAGCAAATACGAATATTGCTGTGAAAACCTATTTAAAGCAGCCCTTGAAAGGTTGGAAGTTCAAATCCGGGGAATGGGATGAGCTCCCACTGTTAGCCCCAGCTTCTGCCAACCTAGCAGTTGGAAAACATGTAAATGAGAGTAGATTAATAGGTACCGCTTCTGCGGGAAAGTAATGGTGCTCCATGCAGTCATGCTGGCCACATGATCCTGTAGGTGTCTACGGACAACACCAGCTCTTCGGCTTAGAACTGGAGATGAGTACCAACCCCCAGTGTTGGACAGAGTCGGACACGAATAGACTTAATGTCAGGGGGAACCTTTACCTTTACCTTTGTAAGATGCTGTCCAACACCTTACATAGGAAATATTCTTACCTTCAAATGGGATCTTGCCATATCCAGGTGTAAACTTGAAAGTAAAAAAAAGTGGAACATGAAATTAATATTGTGAAGAGAACTATTGCACTTCATGGTTGATCTCACAAAAATGGAATTTTGTCATAAACGCTAAAATTTGACTTTTTGAGTTTAACATTAATAATTGCCTATGAATTCGTAGTACAATCATCTCAAAGTCTTTTCTATAATGACCATGCATATATGGTCAATTTATTTTAAAATCAATGATTAGGATCCAACACTAAACACCTGTATCCCTGACCCCGGCTTTAAAACGTGACAACTATTTTTTGTGACTTACAGAACTTTCAGTTTATAATTGTGTCACATGCACTAATCAAACTTTTATTTCATCATTGTAGGGTGCATTTATCAGATATACCTAGCTCTCAGTAAGTACACTCTGAATTTCATCAGGATATGCATATAGAGTGCTGACCTAGAAACCTAGGGTAGAATTCAAAGAGCTGCATAGGCTCACATAAGAAGACTTTCAGAGTTCTTTCAATTTTCATTTTATCTTAATCAATAAAATAAACTTACTCTGGCACAGCCTGTTGCTTTTCCTTTATATCTTCCAAAGAAAACCTTTTCAAATTCTATCTCTAAGGCAAGATCCATCATTTCACTAGATGTGCTATAGTTTGTGGAGGGCTGATATTTTAGTGGTTCATCTGAAACCTATGAAATATAAATATGTTATCTTAACTCTTTTTTCCTCTATTTTTTCATTTTTTATTTCACTTCAAAAGCATTGCATAAATTAGCATAAAGGTGATAAAAATAGGAGCACAAGTGGTTAAATATATTTTGATCAAAAACGGGCAAGAGCAACCGCATTGTCAGTAGCCTCCAACAATTCTTCCTCTGTATATGAGGCAGGACATTGCAGACAAGCATACAGAGTTGTGTGTTCTGCTCCACAGTCGCATAAGGTGGAGAATACTTCTACATAGTGCCATTTTCCAGGTTATCTTTTGATCTACCAACTCCATTTCTGAGTCTGTTCGGGGACTTCCAAGTTGCCATTTCTTGGTTTGCCCCTGTAGGAAGACCCTTGTGGGGTGCTATCCATTTGGGATTTATTGGTTTAGCTGCCCAGACGGATACTATTGCTGTTGTTGGAATAACGTTAAGAGGAGTGGTGGTTCTCATGAAACTCTTCCTTGATTTGAGTCTACTAGGAGGAGTCTGATAGCCATGCAGTGGACGGCTTTCACATTGTTCAACCTTATTTCTCACAGTTGGCAGCAAATTCCTGTCATATATCCAGGAGGAGGGGAGCAATGCCAGTTAACTTGTAGAGTTTATCAAGAGGCGTCACTTTGAGACATCCTATGATTATTCTGTATGTCTTGTTCAATGCTATGTTCACCTGCTTCGTGTGGGCAGACCTGTGCCAAACAGGGTAGGCAATTTTTTCTCAGGATACCTTTAAATTTCTTTTTTTCAAAACAAAGTTTGGAAAAAGGTGGGGGAGATTTAAAGCCAGTGGTCATGCTGTCTAGTAGATTCTGGGAGATGCCATACAAAATTCATGTTTCCAAAACTCTATAAAGAGGAACTTCTCCATAGTCCTTAAGTTTATATGGATAACAATAATCAGAGTTTTGATTACTATCTATACAAGCAAAAGTTAATATATCATAATGAGCCACTGAACATCAAATTTTAGTTTTTAATCACATGGTGGTGACATATTCATATTTTTTAATCAAGAGAAGTATGGTCTGCATTCTAATTCTGATGTTAGGTGGTATTTACAAATGCAATTCACTATAGGCCCATGATTTCCTGAAGCAGGGCTGCCGAAAGCATGATTGGAACTGATATAATATTCTTACTGCTTTCAACAAGCAAAACAAAGAAAAACACCAGTGATTTGAGTGACATATAAATATATATGTTTTTTGTGTATAGCGGTAAATATATAAAACCATAATGACTGCATATAGAGCAATAGTTTACTTGTTCTGTTTTGCCTCCAGATATGCTCTCTGATAGCTCTTCTGACAAAGGCACTTCAGATTCTTGTTCTGATTCTTTCTTCAGGGGAGAATGGCCTTTCTCAGTCTGCAAATACACTGGTTCTTTTGCTTCAGCACATCCTTCTTCATCACTAGACAGGACAACTGAAACATAGTAACACAAGAGCATGTTATTGGTATAATTTAATTTAATAATATTTATTTTTGTCTAGCTATCTATTTTTTACAGAAATAAAGATAGGGGAGTTATATACTTGGATCAGGTGAATCTGTTGTGTCTTTATTTCTTTCAGGTTCATTTAGTGGCTCTTCTGGAGGCAGAGTTATATTCACTTTCTTCTTTCTAGGAGAATTGGTGGCTGGTGAAACCACCTTGTGTTTCCTGGTGATAGAAGACTGAGATCTGCTGGAAGAAGAGTTTGAGGAATTTTCATTTGGACTGTTGACATGAATGTCTTGTTTACTTGTGATTTTTTGAGTCCCACCCGATTCCACAGGCTTGGGATTATTTTCCTGCTGAGAATCGTTTGTATGGTGTTTGCAGACAGATGATTGGATTTGATCCCTCCTTTCTTCCTTCTACCAAAACAAAAAACAAAAACAAAGTATGATGATTTTCCCCCCTAAGTGATGATTTCTTCACATCCTGATAATTATTAATACATTTTAAGCAATGCCTGCTGCTTTATCAAACCAGATGAAATGCAAGTGACTAGTGTAGTGAGGCCCCATTCAAGTTGGGAGGGGAAATACTAAGACCTCTTAGACCTAGTATATATACTGGATGTCACTTGAGCAGGGATACACTAGAAAGTCTTAGTCCTGGTATATATAGTGGATTTCACTCTTGTTACACTCATGCACCCTGATCACATTCATTTTTCAAAATGTAATAATAGTACTCTTATTTTTTACATGCCACCTTATGGTTCAAGGCAGGAAAAAAATGGCTTCCTGTAATGCAAACTGTGACCTATCCCAAGTTCTGACCATAGTAATGTGAATTCTGTAGAAAGAAAGAACTCATATCCCCAAATTGATATATACTGATTATATACAGAATTTATACAAAAAAAAAAAACATGCATAAGTTACTTACACATGGCGGTGGTGAATATGCATTCTGTTGATTTAAGAAAGTATCACTCCTTCTATTTCTTATCTCATTATTTTGAGAGCTTGCTTCCCTCAGACAAATGCTCTTGGAATCTCTTCTTCCTTTCACTGGCCAATCTCCTTTATTTTTTACACTACAGTCTTTATTTAAAAACAATAACAACAAGAATTAATAGTTAAATGCAAGCTAACATTTATTTAAGAACACAGTTTTACTGCGCTAAATCTAGAACTTCTGGAATAAAAATCTACATTAAATGGGACAAAACACTGCCATCCTTTGCATGTTACTCAGAGATAAGTCCTAGTGTATTCAGTGATTCTCACTTGGGCTGAGAAGATATAAAAAGGTAGCTGGCTGAGTGTCAACTGCATTAAGATCACTCTGAACAGAAGGTCATGAGTTCGAAGCCAGCCAGGTCGGAGTAAGTGTCCGGCCAATTGTGTAGCTTCTTGTCGACCTTTGCAAGCCGAAAGACAGTTGCATCTGTCAAGTAGGAAAATTAGGTACCACCTATGTGTGGGGAGGCTAATTAACTAATTTATGAGGCCATAAAAAGACTCCAGCAAAAAGCACTCCAGCAAAACATGCAGGGAATGCGGAAGTACTTCATCAGTGTCGCAGATGGACAATGAAAGCGACAGCTCCCCTGGCGGCTAGAAAAAGTTAAATAGCCTCTGTGTATGTCTATGTACGTTGTATGCCTAACTGGCATTGAATGTTTGCCATATATGTGTACATTGTAATCTGCCCCGAGTCCCCTGCGGGGTGAGAAGGGCGGAATATAAATGCTGTAAATAAGTAAGTAAATAAATAGCTTAAAAGTAACTTCTTCACCAGTTCCAAGCTGAATTCTGACTTTGCAATAAAGGAAATGAAGGGATGGGAGTTCCTATTGTTATCTCTGATGACTTGGTTTACATTGCCAGTCTCACAGTCAAGGAATTTGACTAATTTTTAGTCTTTTCTGTTTGCTTCTTCTCCCATGATCTCATTCTAGAGAACTTCAAGTGTTGCACATACATGCATCATTCTTATTGGTCCTAATAAAGTTATTGCTCAATATTTTTACAGCAAAGAAGTACTAACTTTGTTTTATTTCAGTAATCTTGTTAGAAATAGTGTCTCTATGTGAATACAGCAGAATAGTATCTCAAGAAATCCTACTGGTCTGCTTTATTCAGCTATTACAGGTGGTCCTCGACATCTGCAGATTTCACTTGCTACTTTGATTGTTCATGGGTTAGAGTAACAAATTATATCTAGGAATCTCTAGGTCCTCCAGTGCAACTCATTGGCCATAATCTGGGGCCCTAGAGATGCCTAGGCATTTATAGGTTCTCTTCAAGGCATTTATAGGTTCTCCAGAATGCTTATACTGGAAGCTGACCACAGAATTGTGCTGGAGGACTTAGAGATGCCTTGATAAAAGTTCTCTCAAGTAAAAAAAAAAGTGTTTTTTTTTTTATTGTGGCTTTACCACTTTTACATCTGGACAATTCATCAAATAAGTTTTAATAGCAAACCTTCTAGCACCACATCACATCTTTGTAGAGTGAACAAAGCATTATTACTTTCACAATTATTTGAGTGGTTTTGGTTGTTTGGCTTTCTCCGATATCTTTCATATCTGTGCAGAAAAACAACAAAATGTAAATACCCTCTACATTTTAAGCATGATAAATAGTTACAACACCAATTGTGCTTGTAGCTTTCAAAACACTCACTTAATTTAAGGTAATGTATTTTCCCCAATACAAATCTCAACAAGACTCGTAGTTCTTGTCAAAATTCACATCAGATTTGTAAGCTTAGATGTCAATGTAAATATGTCCAATGGTCAGATTTGTAAGAATTTGGATAATATGAGTCTAACACCCTCTTGTTCTTGTCTGCTCTACAAGGAAAGAAATGAAAATATCACTGGAGATATAATTCTGCTTTCCTTTATGTATGTTAGTCTATACACAGATATGTATGCTTCAATCCCAGTTACTGGCGACTAACCACCTCATCACACAGGGATAACTTCTGTGGTCTGCACCAATTTAGCCCCGGCCACCCACCGAGCCTGCCGGCTCCCATCACATGACGCTGTGCCAGCTCCATAGGTGAAGGAGGGTGGAGCCGGCAGATGCCGCTGGCAGGGCAACATAGAAGGGCTCTTGTGTTGCCATTGCAATGCATGAGGAGAAGCCGCATGCTCATGTTTCCCCCATCTGATCGTCCTCAGGTGGAGCGGGGCGATGTGGGGAGTGGGGCGCCGGATTACCTACGCCCCTCTATAATTTGGAGCAACTGTGGCAGCCATCTGACGAGGTTGTAAGTACCATTGGATGCATTTACATTAACATCTAGGCCTAATTTTCAAGGAGATAAAAAACTGCATTTGGATCATAACTCTTCAGATGATGTATAGCTCATATGACTAAAGGCTCCTCTACTGTAGTATCTTTTTCAAAGGAAAACAGGTATCGGAAGGTAGATCATACCTTATACTACTTCTTAGCGTGCGTATTTTCCAAATAAAGTAAATAACCCTGGCCTAAATTTTGTTAGTAATTCAAAAAAGTAAATCAATTTGCAATTAGGATTTCATTTAGATCTTTGAATGAAAAACTATTATTTCATGTATGTTAATATGTAGGCTGAACTTGTAAAATTGAGATGCATTTATACTAACTCAGGGAAAAACAGGCATACAAGTTATGATCAGTATTCCCTTTTTAAAATGTACATAACATAACAGGTATGTTTTATTGGTAAAGGCTAGCACTGTAGCAGGTAAGGGGTAAGTTAAATGTTTCATCTCCTGCTGTAATTCTGAAGAAAATCCCTGATCTTGTATTTCTGCACTGAAATTCCCACTGGAACCATGTAATACAAAGTTTGCAATTTAGGAGGGAATGTAAAGAGGCAACATTGATATGAAACAACACATTCAAGTGTTGACTTCAAAAATCTAGCTGATCTTGCTTTTGTGCTTCTTTTTTGAGCTCGAAATTGTTCATGTTGTTATATGGTACAAAAAATCAGCTGGATCATATGTTAAGTGCATCCAGGCAATTCCTGCAAGAGTCTGCTCTACTGGATTCTGTAGGAGACAACCAAGAATAAGAGTCATAATCCTAATCACTCAGGTTTTTGTGGTATGTCCAAAGCGATGTACTGTGCAAATACTTGGGTCTGAAAAATATGTCATTATTCTAGCATCAATAATAACCCAATCAAAGTTAGCATCTACAAAATGCTTGCTTCATCACTGCAAATTATAATTCAGCTCCAAAATACCATAGCAAGAGATCTGTTCCAGTAGCTCCTTACACACAAGGGAATGTTGGGTTCACACTTTCTATCCAGTGTTAGACAGAACTCTGAATTTTCCTTAACATTCAAATATCACAATTAACAGATATGGTACTTTAATATAAAATAAGGACTCCAGGATCCAAAGTGGAAAAACTGTTGAATGATTTATATCTGTCTGTATGTCTTGCATGTCAAAAATGGCATTGAATGTTTGCCATGTATGTGTGCACTGTGATTCGCCCTGAGTCCCCTATGGGGTGAGAAGAGTGGAATATAAATACTGCAAATAAATAAATAAATACGACAGTTTTTAAAATGAAAGGACCATATTCCCTTTAAAAATATATTTTTTAAAAATCAGTCCCAAGAAACAAAACTGTACTCTTTATTTCAATGTCAATGTTTTCCCAATAGATTTATGTATTTGACTCCAGACAAAAAAATGCTCCACAGGATTTCAAATGTCCCCATGAAGGTTCACATCTTCATTTGCTTCCAGTTTAGAAGCAGTGCAATACAAGGGGACAATAGGATGGACAGAAAACTAAACTTGCTATTCAGCTCAAATAAACAAGCCTATGCAAGCTTAAAGTAAGAAGAACTCATTAAACACACCAGTAGATTTTTACTCTTTTACCATTTATCTTCTGTTCTGTTTTCTATTCTGTCTGCCCATTTTCACAAATTCTGCAAGCATGTTCAACACAAAGCTTAATTAAAAAATGATCATTGGGAACCTCTGTATATATTATTTGAAAATCTTACTCTAGGAAACATTTAAATTATCCAAAAAACTATCTCTTTTCTTTCAGACATCATACTATTAAAGAATAACATGGATGCCCCATTTCTGAATATTTTATGAAAAAGGAAACCATTCTTAAACATTACTTATTTTGAATACGGCTAATCCAAAGTCGTGTTGAGAACTGATGGCCCAATTCAACTGCAGTTTAAAATAACTCTACGTTAATGTTATATCACCCCATTAGCAGCACGGCTGGTAGGCACCTGAAACAACAGTTAAGGTCTTAGACTGATGTCCAGTATTGGCCTTCCCTCTTTTCATACTATTTTCCCAGTTTGTTGTTCTTTTTGACATATGTTTTCAGTAATGTCAAAAATCCTGCCCGTTTCAAAGCAATCTATAGACTTCTTTCCAAATGTTTTAAAAATGATATAAGATTATAGGACCAAAAAGAAAAATCATATAGGATTAGAAGTCCCACAATGTCCACAAACTTGCCTATGGAAAACCCATCACTAGAATACACCTGTACTTCCAGTAAGTGTTGCAGAGGCATATTGAAACATAACCATGCCAAATACCAGCAATTGCCAGCCTTAACCTACATAAAGATGTTCTGTACCTTACAGCAATAAATTCTACAGTTTAATGGCATGCTTCCTGAAATATACTGCCTATTATCAACAGTAAACATTTACTGTTTAGATTTTTAAAAATCACGATGTTGTTCATCAATGCACAATATATAAATACCCCATACTCCAAGAAATAGCTATTAATTTGGACTAACAGGGAAGTCTTGTGCCATTATAATAGGTGTGTATATTCCAAGGTACAACACAAAGGGATAAACAGAGCAGATTTATCTGTTATGAATATCCCATGGTACAGCTTCATTGGATAACTTGATGAGAGAAGAAAAGTTTTCACTGTTTCCTTTCCCCAATTATGTGTCATTTCCATACTATTATGTCTCCCTTACTTGTTTTTATTTGATCACTCTTGTCTGAATCTTTTTCCAGTTCTACAATATTCCCTTTTAGGTCTGGTGACCAGAACTGCATATAGTTTTCAAGATAAAATTCAGCTATGGGTTTCTATAAGAACAGTTTTATATCAGAAGTAATATTTCCAAATCCTTTTCTAATCGTGTTCAACATAAAATTCCCCCGTTCATTTGCTTCCAGTCTTGAAGCAGTGCAAGACAGGGGGCCAAAAGCAGTATACACTTGAGTTGGCATTTTCTCATGGAAATCATCATGAGATCCCTTTCATGATCAGCTACAGCCAGCTAATACCCCATCAGTGTTTACATTTTAAGTAACTGGTTTGGACTGAACTTTAGAAGGAACAGTGAGAGTGGTTCAGCAATGGAGATGAATGTGTTAGTGAGATGGTGACATCCCATCTCTAGATGTCTTCAAAAAAAGCTTGGACAGCTACTTGCTGGGGATGCTACAGCTCAGTGGTTCTCAACCTGTGGGTCCCCAGGTGTTTTGGCCTACAACTCCCAGAAATCCCAGCCAGTTTACCAGCTGTTAGGATTTATAGGAGTTGAAAGCCAAAACATCTGAGGATCCACAGGTTGAGAACCACTACATAGCTGGAGATCCTGCAAGCCGGGCCTGATTTCTCAAAGAGCTCTTCAAACTCTATAATTTTATAAACCTGGCATTGCACCCAACACATGCACAATTTATCTCCATTGACTCTCATGTGACATTGCACTGCCCATTCTCTCAGTTTGAGGAGATATTCCAATCCCTTTACAATCTATTTCTAAGTAATTTAGTGTTATCGGTAAACTTGGCCAATATACTAGTCATCCCCCTATAAAAGGTTAAACTGTTCCTAGTATAAATCTGTTAGGACGCCCATTCTAATGCTGTCCTTGGTTTCAGGAACAATTTATACTTGTTTTTTAACCTGTTTTTGATGCATAGGAGGAGTATGAAGTCTGTCCACGAGCTTTTGAGTGGTATTCTGACAAAAGCTTTTTAAAAGTCCTATTAACAACATTTACAAGACTACATCTGTCCACATGCTTATAAGAGCTTTTCAAAGAGATAACCAAGAAGTATGGAAATCATGACTCGGCACTTTGTATGTTTTTAATTTGTTTACTGTATCTATATGTTTTTATTGTTTACACTTTTTAAACTGTTTTATAATTTAATATGGTATGTTTATTGTTATGTTCATGATGCAGTACTGAATGTTTGCCATAGTTTGTAAGTCGCTCTGAGTCCCCTTCAGGGTGAGAAGAGTGGGGTATAACTATAGGAAAGAAAGAAAGAAAGAAAGAAAGAAAGAAAGAAAGAAAGAAAGAACAGTAAAAGGTTGTCAAGACTGGGCCTGCTTTTGCAGAAATCTTATTAATTCTATTTCAGCAAGACTTGCATTTTTATGTGCTCTTTAAGTAGCTATACATATAGTGTGCTGCACTCCAAAATTCTTCTTGATATGCTTAAAAATAACTTCGGTTTTAAGGCCCTGAGTATGTATGTTGAGATTTGAAGAGTTCACGTTTATTCATCCGAAAATGCAACTCTGATTTAACCTTTCAAACAAATACAGGCAAAAGATGTTAAATCTGAGCAAACTCCTCAAAACATTTTGCTCCACAACAATCACTCCACAACAATCACTCTAATACATGACTATAAATGAAAAGAGATGCTAAAGGAGTGTGCATACATGCTCGCTGTCAGATATACATAAAGTCAGTTACCTGAAATGTCACTAATTTCAGTTATGGAATTGAACATGTTTATACCTTTTTACCAGTATAAATCACCTAAAACTAGAAGTACTGTGGACTGTGCTTTGTGATTATAGTTCAAAAATATTCCTGTATACACCGATTTCAATCAGATACCAGTTTTATTTATAAGAATAAAAAATAATAAAAAGACTGTGCTGAACAACATACCTTTTAGATAAAATACATCTTTGTTGAGAGCTTATTTTTTTACATGAGCCTAGGCTGGCAATAGATGAGGAGGCTTGTTCACCTGATTGCAGCTTGTTAGCATCAGATAGATTAGCATCAGTTAAAAGATCCTTTTGCATGTATTTTCTTCCTGTTTTCGTCCTCAGAACATTCGTCAACATAACTTTGGGTTGCCTGCCATACATATAATAATTAAAGTTCTGAAATCCATCAAAAGAATGCTTGGTTGAATGATTATATCACAGCTGTTTAAGAAATCTCAATTTTTATTAAGTGAAACTACCAAGAAGCTGACAACCATGAGCGTAAACAAGAGATGACAAGTAAGTGAAGTGTCCCAATGGACGGATGAAGATCCGATCAACTAGAAGTATTAATGTTAATTTCAATTTGCCTTTGCCATTTTAGCTGTTGGCCTTTCATTTCATGTCAAGAAAAACTCCAGCATGCATAAAATCACATAGTAAATAAACTAAGACTGAATTCTGAAAATTGGAAAGCTATCTTCAACCAAACTAGATCTCTATTTTTGCAGCCATCAGTTAAGCAGACTGTGTAATTATCTCGGTTATTATTTTACTTTTCACTTGGATGTATCTTAACAGACTCTCCATCAGTATTCATTAAGATGAAATGATAATGCATAGTTGTGATTTTAATACAAAGAAAAATTGTTCTTCAATAATTTTCCATATAAATTTGGGGGGCTCTTGACAAGATGCTTTTAGACGCCTAAAAGACAATTGTTCTCCTCTTAGTGGCCCCATCACTGATCCTAGCTAAATCTCTTCGATCTAACCTACATCGAGCGCGCAAAAGGAGAGTGTAAGGCAAGCAGAAACTGCTGCTCCAATTTCTTGCCACAGCTTGTTTACTTAGAGATAAAAGGTAAGGAAGAGGAGAAGCTAGGCTGTGGTGCTCTGAAAGAGGCAAATTACAAAAGAATATCAAGCCCTGGTACCAGGTTGCTTTTAATCCTTTTACATATCTCTTATCAACCAATAAATTATTTTCATTCTCTGCACTCTTATAGTCTGTGCATGAGATATGAAGTGGCAGTTTGAATGTATAAAACCATGTTCAGTTCTATACTGAAAGTCCTATAGAAGAAGCATGAGGCTGATAAAAGAATTGGTAAGCCATGGATATGTCTTCTGGGCAAAGAGGAGAACTGAAGTAATAGTCCAAAGAGGATATTAAAAATGAGAGGAAAAACTGAAGTGTTTCCTTTCCTAGGATGTTAATACATACTGCTCTTCAAGTGAGTAAGAGGAGGAATTCACCAGGAGTGCAAATAAATTAGTTTCACTGTTAAAAAGCAACTAATTTTAAGTTTCACAAGATATGCGAGTTGACAAATTCTTTCTCAACTGAAAAATGATGTTCCAAAGATGCCTCATAACACTTTACTGAAAGTGAAAAATGGCTAATGACAGCAGTGTAACATGGAATACCTATTCATGAAAAACATTAACATGCAATTTCTTTTAACAATATTTAGGCAAAGCTGCCTGAAACAGTCAGACTGAACAAAACATACCTTTTAGATATAAAAAGGCTTTCATGAAGAGGACTGAATATTTGCCATATCTCTACAGTGTCAACAGACGATGGGGTTTGTTGATCTGATTGCAACTTGGCACCATGAGATAAATTAGCATCAGTTATAAGCTGTGTCTCTGTGTATTTTCTTCCTACTTCCGTCTTCAGGACATTCGTCAAGATAACTTTGGGTTGCCTGCCATACATATAATAATGATAATGATAAATAATGAAGTCTAAATAAGAGAAATGAATTCAGTGAAGTTTCCTGTACTAATCTGAATGTTATATCCTAATTAAAGAATACTTCAACCAAAAACATGTACTGTATCTTACTATAATGAAAGAAGTTAACTTTCTTCTTCGTCTAATATATCTGCATATTCATCCTTGAGAGAACTTTCCTCACTTCATATTGAGAATTTGGTCACTTCTATTTTCTTTGAAACGATCCTTGTGAATTATGCCTGAAAGGTTTGTTATGCCTTGTTTTGGTGACATCTGCATTTGTGGCCATATGCAATGCCTTAATTGAAAAATCATGAACTTATAGAAATATAGTAAGTAAAGCTAAGACTGTCTGAGGCACAGGATTCCTTTGTCACAGATGAATCCTGAGGAAGCCAGAGAAATCAAGAATCTAGTCCAAAATCATAGCCAGAAGTGCCAAAGCTGTGGTTTCTTCTTCTAGGTCCAGTTCAACACAAATGAAGATAAAGGAACTCTTCTCTTACCTGTGACAAATGCATTTTCATCAGAGGAGAAATATCATACAGGATTGGGTGGCTCCTTCCACTCACTCCAGATAGACAGAAAATAATTGTGTGAGAGAACTACCCTTAGAATTGAAGAAATGAATGTTCCAGAGGTAGAGAACACCTTCAATAATTTATTAACATATAAAGCTGAACAGATATGAAGCCAGGTAAGTCTGAAGTATAATTGCTTCTTACAGGCAAGAGCTATGTACAATCTAACACCTTTGTATACCAGCACCTCACAGGGTGGGAAGGACGTTAGTCCCTTGTCTGCTGAAAATGGTAAGAAAAATGTTCCTTTTTCCAGTGGATAAAAAAGTAACATACAATAATATTGGGATTTGTCAGAGCTTCCCACGCTAGAGTGTATTGTGCTGGATCCCAATATATTTGGTTTTCACTGCCTGCTGTAGGACCCTGCAATCAAAGCCAATATCATCTGATTCAAGGTGGTTGAGCTTATGGTGATAATGATGGGTAGCCTAAATGTGGCAGCACTGGAAATTTCTGCCAGGGGAACATTAGTGGACAACACTGCTGTTGTTGTAGCCGCATAAACTATGTTCCCTGGAGATGGAGTCCCCAGGGAGTCACAGCAGGTTATAATGCAGGGTCTGATCCACCTATTCAGGGTGGTGGAAGACGCTGTCTTGCCCTGAGAGGGTGGCTTGAAGAAGACAAGTGGCTTCAGTGAAGCAAAAGCTGCTTGTCATTCTCAGGTACGAGGTATGACAAAAAAAGTAATGAGACTGATTTTCTTTTAACTATGAGTTTTATTCTGTGTCCAAATCAAGGTTATTCCCTTCTAAGTAGTTCTCTTGGGCAACTACACAGTGACGTTGTTTCCATTGTTCATAGCAGTGCTGAAAGGCTTCTACTTGAATGTGTTTCAGCTCATCAGCTACACTCTTCAGGACATTATCCGAAGTATCAAAATAGTACCCTTTCAGGTGATTTTTGAGCTGGGGAAGTAAAAAAAGTAACAGAGACTGAGATTTGGCTAACAAGGGGGCTGGGGAACTGTGGGAAAGCTTTTTTCTGCCAAAAATGCATTAATGGACTGGCATCCGACACGAGTTGTTGTGATGCAGCATCCAAGTGCATGCAATGCCTGGTTGCACACATGCCACTCTCTTCCTGTGCCTTTCGAGGGCTTCCCAATAAAAAGTTTGATTGATACTTTGTCTTGGAGGCACACATTCCTTGTTTGAATGCAATTTTCCTACTTCTTGGCAGGGGATTGCACTGGATGGCCTACGAGGTCTCTTCCTACTCTATGATTCTATGATCCTGTCAGAATAAAGAGTATCGATTTGATTTTTGATTTGTTCATTCTCACTTTCTTGAGACAGGGAGAGTTTGCAGTGTGCCATTCACATCTTTAGCGTTTGGTCTCAACGCTAAAAATTCATCAACTGAAGAATTTTTGCTCCTTTTCAAAACAGTTCAGAAGATCAACCCAACTAAGCCTTCTGTTCAGTTGTGAGGTTTTTTGGAACAATCTTGACACACACGTTTATCGTGCCCTAATCCTGTATTAAAATCCGATGGATGATAACTTGGCTCAAATTGAATTCACAACTGATATTCTCAAAGTCAGTCAATGATCTTACATCAGAAGAGTCCTCATCCTTTCCACACTGTTGTCCATTTTTGAGGTTGAGGATCGTCCTACATGAGGTTCTTCTTACATTTATTCTTGGCCCTCTAAAAAGGCTTTGTTGCATCTGAACTTGTGGCCTGGATAGCTAATGTTCTCCATAAACCCTATGTAATTTTTCAGAAGTCACAATAGCGGATTCACCAATTTTTACACAAAATTTGATAGCACAACGTTGCTCTAATTTTTGCCGGTCCACTTTTTTAGTGTTCCTCACAAACACAATATTACATCAGACACTTTTAACAACTAGATAGCAACTGTAACCAAGTTTAAACTTGTGCTGAGTTTATGGCAGGGGTTACCCTAACTGCCAGGTGAAGGGAGAAGCAGCAGTGTTGTTGGTTTGTGCACAACATTGCCGGTCTCATTAGTTTTCTGTCATACCTCTTATATACAGAGCGCCTGCGGTTATTCAAGTTGCGCCATATCTTTTTCAATTCTTTCAATGGTCAAGGGCTGAAGGGTGAGAGGACTACTTTCTGTAACCTATGGAAGGTAGAATGTACATTGGGAATGAAAATTGGCCACCACAGAGTCAGATTGAATGATAGAGATCCTTGTGCACTGGCAGGGCACCTAGCTGTGGCTGTCTATGTACCAAGGTTACAGCAGTCAGGGAGAGAATCTTACACAATTGGTGCTTCAGGAAGGATTCCCATAGATGTTTAAATGGTGGAATCATCGGCACCATCAGGATGTGTATAGGTCCTGGGAAGTGATTGGTGCTAAACACAGAGCAAGTAATAACAAACCTTTAAGAAATCTCTGCACATGTGGATGGAAAGCCTTCATCTATGGAACTGTACATTAAATCAAATTTGAGCATATATATTATCAGACAGCACATTGTGTGGGCTGAGTGCTAGAATGGGAGACCAGACCCAAATCTCCACTTGGTCATGAAAACCCACTTGCAAGTCACAATCTACCAATCCCAAAGAAAGGAAATGGGGAAAAGCCCTTTTTCTAAATAAATCTTGCCAAGGAAAAAAAAACCCTAGTGAGGATGATATGACGAGACACAACACCAAGCTGTGGGCTCACAGAATGCAAGCAGAACATTGCTACAGGCTAAATTTCATATTGGGGGGGGGGGGTTACCAAAACTACATCATAAACACAGCCCCTTCAATAAAATACTATGAAATTTGTAGGATTGCTACAAGTCAACACACATATATACCAACTAATCTTATAAAAAATAGCCTGCAACTTGCAGCAAAATCCATTATGCTAAGATGCATGTTCTAGGGCTTCTAAGGTTCATCTACATTGAAATGCAGTTTCAAACCAGTATTGAACAAACTGGTTTTGCTGTGCTGATAATTACATAGGAAATCCTGAAACCAGGGCCTAGATGGTGATCACACAAACTACAGAGAATTGATGCACATTGAAACTTTTCTTTTCCACACCTTTGTGAGAGGCTGCCACAGTCTGAAGCTAGCTTTGAATTGAATGAAATGGTCAGTGCAGATGGGGATTAAGACAAGTACTAATATTTTCAGAACAATTGAGTCCTCTAGGTTAAAGCTGAATTTTATTTCTGAGCTCTGGAATCCAAAGATCAAGGACTCATGGAGTAATAGGCCCATCTGTAGGAATTCCTATGTAAAATGTAACTTTTGAAACTAATTAACAAGTACTTCTGCTTGTCGAAACCCCTTCAAGGCTCCTCCAGATGGGTGTTTGGCAATGACTCTTTAGAAGAAAAAACTGCTCTAATTGTTTTAGTGACTTCAGAAAAAGGAAGGGGATAAAGAGTCCTCATTAGATGGAGGAAACTCTTATTTCTGATACCAAATTCACAATAACTTTTATTTGTGAGGAGAATATTTCCTTGGCAAAAAGAGAATCCTGTTATATGTAGATTGTGACAAAATTAGGGATCTGTATAACTGCATTTTGTAAACATATAAATATTTGTGTTGCATGTGTTGATACTGTATATGGCACATACAAAGCAGGTTCTAAGTACTGAAAAGTCACTTGCTTCTCCCACAGTTAAATATGTTTTTAAAAAACCCTTCACATATCCAAAAGCTTATCTCCCAAAGAAAATTTAATTCTCAGTTTCTTAGATAAAGCTAATTTGTAGGCCATCTACACTGACCATTTAACACAGTTTCAAACTGGTATTAAGGAAAGTAGTTTCACTGTGTAGATGATTAAGAAGATAAGAAATCCTGAAACCAATTTGAGGCTCAGATGATAATTACACAAGCCACAGAACATTAATAAGGTCTTTCTTTCATGCATTTATGTTGGTGTTTGCTGTCTGGCTGCTGCAGTTTGAAGCTATCTTTGAACTGCATTAAATGGTCAGGGTAGATAAGGCCTCTGTGGACAGAAAGATGCAGTTTCACATTTAAGCACTCAGCATTTGTATAGCGCTTGGTAACAAACTTGGCCAGAATGATATAAGCTAGAGTATATTGTATCATAAGTCTAATACCAAATAAAAATGAAAAAGAACCCAATGAAATTAATATACTGTATTTCCTCGCATAATAGTCACACTTTTATGCCTTTTTTACCAAAAGAGGGGAAGACTTTTTTTTGTTTTTAAAACTGCCTTACCTCTGAGGAGGAGGGATGATCTAGCCCCAAACAAACAGCTCCATTTCTGTTTTTTTTTAAACTGTCTTGACTCGGAGAAAAGAAGGAAGATGCGAGCTCCAAAAAGCTCCATTTCAGATTTCAGAGAAAGAAGGAAAGGAGAATCTGAATCCCAAAGGGCTGTGTGACGATTATGCGAAAAAAGGCTACGAGCCAATTTTTGGAGACAAAAAAGGGATGAAACTATTGTGTGGTGGTGACTATTATGTGGTGAATTGTGGTACTTGCATAGGCTCATTCTTTGGTTCTACAGTTATACCTAGATAACTGTAAATGCTCGCTTGTTATTTATGCTTGTAGCACGCATTCAATTATACATGAAAACCACTCCTTTGACAAAAGCTAGAACAGTGGGGGACCAGGTTGTCTGTGCTGAACTCCCGAAAACAACTGTCTCTCTGCATGGAGCCTTAAGCCTCCCTTGGCAGAGGAAGGAGAACTTCCTTCTCAGCTAAGATAAGCAATGGAAGCTTGGCTGTATTTATTTCAGCAGAGGAAGGAGACAAACTCCTTTCTCAGTAGACAAAAATGGCAGAAACAGCTGCACTTCTCTCAGTAGGGGAGATGAACTCCTTTCTTGGCAGAGAGGTCTATGGCTCCATGCAGCAGAGCATTACCCCAAAACAAACAAACAAAACATTGTATTCACAAGGATTCCTGTAAAATACAGGTTTTAGTTCCATCATCCATTGGCTTTCATAATGATAGGTGCGAACGCAGTGTTCTAGGGGATAACTTTTGAAGTATTCCATTTTCCTTTCTCCCTATCTGTTTGCTTTTGCATGTGAAACAGAGACCAGTTTGGCTAATTTCTAAACAGGCCAGGTGAAAAAACTTGGCTTAATAAACTGCTTAGCATGAGGTACACCAGTGCCACTAACCATGTGATGTTGGCATAACACTGCAGTGCCACTAACCATGTTATGTTGGCATAACACTTGACAAGAACTACATTAGTTGCCTTTTTAAAGAGGGTTTATGTAAATATTAATAGGATATTACAGAGAGGAGGAGGATGTTCCACTAAATAAAGGCAATAACATAGTGCTGCAACAACATAGTGGTGATTTGAAATTGATTTGATTGATAAAACTGACAGCACTCTCTATACAACAATAGATGAAGAAATGGAAATCCCACCTTACATTTTAGGGACAACACAAGAAATGGAAGCTTCTGTAATCAAATGGTGTGACTGTGAGTTAGAGAGTTGATTGCCCCTGCTTTTTGAAGCCTCATCACTTACCCATATCCAGATTCTTCATCACTAAAGCCATACTTCTCTGAGTGCCTTTTCCTTTTCCAGTTTGGGTGAAACTTGTTTTGTGATCTTGATGTCCACTGAAATAGGCAGAGGAAATTAAAATATAGATATTAAGTATGTGAAAAGATAGCAAAGGGAAAAATGGAAAATTGAAGAAGGGACTACTTTAAAATTGTAAAAAAAAAAAACCCAACAACAACAACAACAAAACCTAATATTATTTTTTCAAACAATAAAACACCCCAGTGTGACAATGTAACACCATGACATCAACATGAATGAAAATGTTGTTTTCTACACAGTAGGAATAAACATATTAGTCCAAAATATATACAAGGATATTATTTCAGGAATTCGTTTTGTTCGGATTCTAGCTTACAGAGGAAGAATTAGGTAGGTTTGAATTAAAAAACAAAGGTCACAAATGTTTCTATTAGCCCCTATTGAAGAGAACACAAATTTGCTTGTTTCTGCAATTTAATTGTGTAAGTGGAGTTACATGTTTATTTTCCTACTGAGAAGAACCACCAAATAACATACAGGTCAGTCTTATCCAAGGGTGCATCTATACTGTGTAATTAATACAGTCTGACATCACTTTAGCTGGCATGGCTCAGTGTTCTAGAACAGGGGTCCTCAAACTAAGGCCCGGGGGCCAGATGCGGCCCTCCAAGGTAATTTACCCGGCCCTCGCTCAGGGTCAACCTAAGTCTGAAATGACTTGAAAGCACACAACAACAACAATCCTATCTCAGCCAATAGCAGGACCACACTTCCCACTGAGATACTAATAAGTTTATATTTATTAAAATTGTTCTTCGTTTTAATTATTGTATTGTTTTTAAGTGGGGTTTTTTTGCACTACAAATAAGATATGTGTAGTGTGCATAGGAATTCATTCATTATTTTTTTTCAGATTATAATCCGGCCCTCCAACAGCCCTCCAACAGTTTGCGAGACTGTGATCTGGCCTTCTGTTTAAAAAGTTTGAGGACCCCTGTTCTAGAATCATGGCAGCTGTAGTTTTATAAGATCTGTAGTCTTCTCTGGCCAAAAGTACTGATGCCTCACCAAACTACAAATCTTGGGATGTTAAAGACTGATACTGGCAATAGGCCTGGTAATCTCCCCCATTTCAAAACCACAGCTTCCACTAGATCATCAATATTTATTTCAAAACATTTATAAATATTTCAGTTTCTGCAAATTTTCAACAATTATAGATTTTTTTTTAAAAAAAAAGATCAATGCTTATTCAAAAATAGTTCTAGTCTACTAAACTCAGAGTAGAACTGACTATAAATGCTATTTACCCTATTAATGGTTTATGTAATGTATTTACCCCTTGTAATGGATTATCCCACTGATGAGCATCTGCAAGTCTTGACAATGGAGATTGAGCATGGACATCATCTGATTGTGTTTCTGATACCTTCTTTGGTATTCGATACTGAAACAAGAAAGATCATGGATTCACATTACTTATACAAGCAGGAAACAATATCCAACACCAAATTAAAGTACAAAAACAAGTTAAGATTCAATATTTGGTGATTTTTACATAACACAAAAATGTATTGACTCGAGCCAAGGTTGGGAAATGCAGCAACTACTGGTAAATTTCAAAATAAAAATAGATACCACTAAAATTACATTAACTGAGGCAATAGTAAGTTTTTTTTTCATATTTACATAAAACTGTAATTTAAGATAAGACTGTCCAACTCTGATTAAATCATTATTTTAACCCCTTTCAATGTAAATGTGCTTATGTATCCTTCCAATAATAACAAAGAGAGTAAAATAATAAATGTATTTATAACAATAATAATAAAGTATAATAATAAATGTAATAATTATTATAAAGTACAATAATAAATTTAATAAACATAAGAGTAAAATAATAAACATAATAACTATAATAGAGTAAAATAATAAATGTAATAATAACAGAGTAAAATAATAAATGCAATAACAATAATAGAATAAAATAATACATGTAATAATAATAATAACAACAGGGTAAAATAATAAATAACTTCAACTCAAGTATAAGCCGAGGGGGGCTTTTTCAGCCTTAAAAATGGGCTGAAAAACTCGGCTTATACTTGAGTATATACAGTAATTCTGCCTTTGTTGCTACAAACACACGTTTCCTTTCTAAAAATGTTTCATATATTTTAAATTTTATTTCTATACATTGCTTCCTCTATTTGCAGAATACCATCAGACAAACTGCCAAAATAAGGGATGTACATTAGGGGCTACTTACTTTATGTTGAACTAAAGATGATTTTTTCCCACATCCTTCCATAATTGCTGCTGAAAAGAAAAGATTTTAAAAAAACCAGTATTCTGCATCTTGTTATAAGAAAGCATTGTCAAAAACAACTAACTAGGAATCATTGAACCTTATTAGATAGAACCTATTTCCAGCTCTTAAAAGTACAAACATCCCTTGTGAATAAAAACATTTTTTCAATAATTGCTCTTCTGTACAGAGATAAAAAGGTAGTCAAAACATAAAGAGAAATTCAAGGATTGATTTCTTATTTGGCAGCTAGATTCAATGCTCTGCTGGTGAAACTTTTGGAACTTTCTTCCCCTGTCATCCTGTCAATGCAATTAAACTGCATTATGAAACTGCATTATATGGGAGTGTAGAGGGGGGCCAAGCAGATAGGTCGCTTTTGTATAAAATCAGTGGATCATTCTTTTGAGTAGATATCACAATCAAAAGAGAAACTGAAATTGCTGCCTTGCGTGCTTCCATCCAGGATGTTTCTTTAAATTTGCTGAACCATTCAGCACTACAGGAAGTATACCTATATAGAGATTTACTCATGGTGTGATTGAGAATTATCTGTGGTTGGACGCAAAGTCTTAAGAATAACACAAGAGCAAATAAATGCAGGTCAAGTTCAAGTCCTAACTAGAATAGACTCATTGACTGAACAGGGTGTATTTCAATGCTGACATTATTTAGCAACTGATTCAACACATCTACTCTAGACTAGCAACTACAGTGAGGTTAGTACTTCTTTCTTAAGCTCCATCTACACTGACCATTTAATGCAGTTTGAATTTCAAGTGTGGCAGCCGCACAACTAACTTGCACAAAATCATACAGAAGAAAAACTTGATGTGCATCAGTGTTCTGTAGTTGCGCAATCACCATCTAGGCCTCAAACTGATAAAGCACTTGCGCAGCTAAAATATTCTTTAGGCCACCCTCCATCTCTCTAATCTACAAGATGATTAACAATGTTTTTAAAAGGCTCAATTTTATCCTCCTTTAAAAACCAATCAACTATAAATTTCTCTTATTAAAAATCAGATTTGTAATTAAATGCACTTTATGTGGGAATACTTTTGAAGATGATAAATAATAATAATAATAATAATAATAATAATAATAAAGCTTTATTTATATCCCACTCCCCGAAGGGACTCGGAGCAGCTTACAACAAACAAAATAGAAATAAATAATAATAAACACAGATACTGTCAAAAATAACTCAATAACAATAACATTGATCAGCGTCCTTTCTACTGACCTTTAGAACGAGAACAAAGACATGGCTGTAGCACCAAGCTTTTGGCTAGAAAAATAATGCAATACAAAGTATACTTAAGAAAACGTGCAATATTTATTTATTTCGGACATTTGTATCCTGTCCTATCTCAACCTCTGCAGTGGGACTCAGGGAGGCTAACAACCAGCACACCATGGTGCCCACAACCAAAAGCATAAATATACAATTTAAAGAAAAACATTCAAACAGTATAAAAACATTCAAACAGTCAAACATTTAAGTCATCATCCTAAAAGCAGTCTGGAATGGCTATGGTGTACGATTTTTGGATCCTGTGATTTTAATATATATACTAGGATGATTTTAATGCTTTGTCTGAATGTTTAAATTTTGTTTATGACTTATGTTTAATGGTTTTAATGATTTTAAGTCATAGTTATATGTAGCAATTAATTATTATGATTTTTTCTTTTACTGTATGTCGTCATTGAATTTCTGCCATTAGTATGTTGAGTCCCCCCAGAGGTGAGAAAAGTGGTGTATAAATACAGTAAATAAATAAATAAATAAATAAAACAAGGCAAACACAAAACCTTGTACATATGAGTCAAAAATGGCAACTATAGTCAAATAATTATAAAATATAGTGTAATTTAAAACATCCCAGGACCTATTTTAGTTTGTAAAATGAGAGGATCTAGTTATTGGATGACTTGGAAATTTTAGGTGGAAAAGAACTCTTCTAAACACTCAGTAGGTCTAAATGTATCAATGTTTAGATTATGGATCCTCAAACTAAGGCCTGAGGGCTGCATACGGCCCTCCAAGGTCATTTACCCAGCCCTCGCTCAGGGTCAAATCTGGAACTATTTGAAAGTACAACAACAATCTTATCTCATCAGCCAAAAGCAGACCAACACTTACCATTGAAATACTAATAAATTTATATTTGATAAAATTGTTCTTCATTTTAATTATTGTATTGTTTTAAGTGTTTTTTGCACTACAAATAAGATATGTGCAGTAGAGTGTGCATAGGAATTCATTCATATTTTTTTTCAAATTATAATCCGGCCCTCCAACAGTTTGAGGGACTGTGACCTGGCCCTCGGCTTAAAAAGTTTTAGGACCCCTGGTTTAGATTATACATCCATTTTTTACTAGTAGATCGGCTGCTGGTGTTTTTGAACACAAATTAAAGTGCTGATATTACAAGTCTAAATGGTTAATTGAAAGACTATAATCATACCTTTATAAAACTAAGCAGGCTTTACTCCCTATAGCAGGGGTCCTCAAACTTTTTACTTCCTAATCAGGGGTCCTCAAACTTTTTAAACAGAGGGCCAGGTCACAGTCCCTCAAACTGTCGGAAGGCTAGATTATAATTTGAAAAAAACATGAATGAATTCCTATGCACACTACACATATCTTGTTTGTAGTGCTAAAGCCACTTAAAAACAATACAATAATTAAAATGAAGAACAATTTTATCAAATATAAATTTATTAGTATTTCAATGGGAAGTGTGGGTCTGCTTTTGGCTGATGAGATAGGATTGTTGTTGTTGTTGTTGTTGTGTGCTTTTGAGTTGTTACAGACTTAGGTTGACCCTGAGCGAGGGCCGGGTAAATGACCTTGGAGGGCTGCATCTGACCCCTGGGCCTTAGTTTGAGGACCCCTGCCCTATATGATCCCAAAGAGTGTCCACAATTTTATGAGATTTTTAATACCTACTTTTAAAATGGTTTGAATTTAAAGAGAGTTTTATCATTTCTTCATATTTTAACTGTATTTTAACTGGTTCCGTGCAGACAAACTTTGTTTCATGCCTAAAATATCTCAAATATTTGTATAAAATTACCTTTAGGCTATGTATATAAGTTGCTTATGAAAAATCAATAAATTTCATATTTAGATTTTGATGCAATCTTCTGAATATCCTGTTATAGATATATATGCAAAACTATTCCCAAATTTTAAAAAATCTGAAATCCAGGATACTTTTGGTGCCAGGTATTTCTGATAAAGGAAACTGGTCCTCTACCAGGTGTTTATCAGCCAGGTATAAACTTTTGGAAATCTATTGTACTCCTAAAGGAACCAATTAATCACAACTGCTTTTTGAGCAAGAAGGACAGTCCCAAAGGGTTTTGTTTATTTCATAGGATGTGTGTTTTGTACTGAAATATATATTATTCTTTTGTAAAGAAAATGGAATTGGCTCTTCAGCCCAAATAAAAAGGGTGACTTGTTTCAGATAAAAGACTCATTTTATTTATGACTGTCTCTATCCCATGGATCAAGCTTTTCAAGCGCTCAAAATATGCATTCAAACTTTGTCACACCCTTCACATGCCCCCCATAAGAGGATTTTGGAGAGGTCAAACTTTCACCAACAGATTTCATACATTGTCAAAGGCTTTCATGGCTGGAATCACTAGGTTCTTGTGGGGTTTTTTCGGGCTATAGGGCCATGTTCTAGAGGCATTTCTCCTGACGTTTCGCCTGCATCTATGGCAAGCATCCTCAGAGGTAGTGAGGTCTGTTGGAACTAGGACAATGGGTTTATATATCTGTGGAATGGCTGGGGTGGGGCAAAGAGCTCTTCTCTGCTGGAGCTAGGTGTGAATGTTTCAACTGACCACCTTCATTAGCATTTGAAGGCCTGGCTGAGCCTGGGAAAATGTTGAGAGGTGTTAAGATGTGCCTGGTTGTTTCCTCTCTGCTGTTTTGCTGTTGTAATTTTAGAAGTTTTTTAATACTGGTAGCCAGATTTTGTTCATTTTCATGGTCTCTTCCTTTCTGTTGAAATTGTCCACATGCTTGTGTATTTCAATGGCTTCTCTGTGTAGCCTGACATGGTGGTTGTTGGTGTGGTCCAGCATTTCTGTGTTCTCAAATAATATGCTGTGTTCAGAAATGCCTCTGGAACATGGCCCTATAGCCCAAAAAAACCCCACAAGAACCTAGATTTCATACATCTTAACAAATAGTTCAATTGTATCCAAAGATTTGTTCTTGAATTACCTATACTGGCAAATCACATTTGACAGCACAGACTCCCCTACACCTCTGCAAATAGCCTTCAAAATGCCCTTCATAGGATGGTTACCTGTTCCTATGAGATGATGTCTTAAGACAACATGAGCATGCGGCTGAGGGGGGAAAGGAAGGGGCCTGAGGCTGTTAGGAATTGTGGGAGTTGAAGTCCAAAACTACACTACACTATAGAATTAATACAGTTTGACACTTGAACTGCCACAGCTCAGTGCGATGGAATGATGGAGTTTGTAGTTTGGTGAGGTATCAGTGCTCTTTGGCAGAGAATGCTAAAATACTTCAAAAACTACAACTTCCAAGATCCCATTGGTTTGAAGTGGTGCCAAAGTGCATCAATTCTTCGTTGCTTTTCTCTGGATCCTGCCTTCCTCCCAACACGGGGACTCAATTGGACAAAAGGGGATTTGCTTGAGAGCCAAACATGTATGGATTAACCCCAACCTTGGCCTTCCTCCTCGGGCCGAGGCCCTCCAAGCCCCCCCTATCGCTCCCTTTAAATCCCTCTCCGTAGGACGCCGGCGCATTTAAGGAGAGCAGGAGGGAGAGGCGTTTCCGGCTGCTCCGAGGAAGACAACGCCGCCAGCAGCGAGGCAAGTCAGCCCCTCACTTTGGGCCTTTTCCTGCTTACCTGCCCGGCTCTAGGCCGCTCCACGCCGCCCCCGCTTTTGTTTATGCTGACGGCCGCTATTCCTGCAGGACTTCTGAGGGCCGCTTCCGGTACAGGCAGCGCCCCCTCAGCCCTCCCCCGCTTTTTTTCAAAACTGCCATGGCAACACCGAATGGGGTTCTGGGATTTGCAGTTTGGGGAGGGGCCATTAGAACGCACATCCGCAGAGTTGCTCGGTCTGATTGAACTACAAGCTCCAGGGATCCAGAGGGTAGCGCCAAGTGGAGTATAGAGCGATAGCGGTGTGAAATAGTAGAGTCATCTTCGTGGGGAATTTAACTCCTAATTTCAGACAGGCCATATTTTTGTGGTTGGAAGGCCCTTTTCTGTTTCCAAGCTTTTAAATCAGAGGAGAGAAAAAAGACTAAGGGCCCTTCGACACAGCCCTATATCCCTGAATATCAAGGCAGAAAATCCCACAGTATCTGCTTTGAACTGGGTTATCTGAGTCCACACTCAGTTAATGTGGGATTTTCTGCCTTGATATTATGGGATATAGGGCTGTGTGGAAGGGCCCAGAAACACTTTTTTTAAGGTGGCACTGGAGTCATTTGCACTCAAGCCTCTTTCACTGAAACAGAAGTACCTTTCTGTTTCAATGGGCTGTATGGCTATGTTCCAGAATCATTCCCTCCTGATGAAACATGGCCATGCAACCTGGAAAACTCACAGCAACCCAGTGATTCTGGCCATGAAAGCCTTTGACAACACAGAAGTACCTTTCTTAAGGTGGCACTGGGATCGTTTGCACTCAAAAGACCCTTGACTGAAACAGAAGCGCCTTTCTTAAGGCAGAACTTTCCCTGGGGTCATTTGCACTGAGATTTTCTCCATTGTCCCTCCACACATTAACTGAGCATGGATTCCCCTTTCACCCAGCTGAATGAAATCCCACAGTATCTGCTCTGAATTTGAATATATGGCAGTGTGGACTCAGGGCCCTTCCACACTGCCATATAATCCAGAACAGGGGTCCTCAAACATTTTAAACAGAGGGTCAGGTCACAGTCCCTCAAACTGTTAGAGGGCTGCATTATAATTTGGGGGGGAAATGAATGAATTCCTTGCATACTGCACATATCTTATTTGTAGAGCAAAAAAACCCACTTTAAAACAATGCAATGATTAAAACGATTAACAGTTTTAACAAATATAAATTTATTAGTATTTTAATGGGAAGTGTGGGCCTGCTTTTGGCTGATGAGATAGAATTGTTGTGTGCTTTCAAGTTGTGTGCTGCCAAGCCATCAAATGCTAATTAAGGTGGTCAGTTGAAACATTCACACCTAGCTCCAGCAGACAAGAGTCCTTTGTCCCACCCTGGTCATTCCACAGATATATAAACCCATTTTCCTACTTCCAACAGACCTCACTACCTCTGAGGGTGCTTGCCATAGATGCAGGCGAAACGTCAGGAGAGAATGCCTCTAGAACATGGCCATATAACCCAGAAAAACCTACAACAACCGAGTGCTTTCAAGTTGTTTCAGACTTAGATTGACCGTGAGTGAAGGCTGGGTACATGACCTCGGAGGGCCCGTATCTGGTCCCCGGGCCTTAGTTTGAGGACTCCTGACCCACAATATCAAGGCAGAAAATCCCACAATATCTGCTTTGAATTGGAATATCTGAGTCCACACTACCATATAGTAAAGGTAAAAGTTTTCTCCTGACATTAAGCCCATTTGTGCCTGACTCTGGGGGTGTGGTGCTCATCTCTATTTCTAAGCTGAAGAGCCGACGCTGTCCATAGACACCTCCTAGGTCATGTGGTCGGCATGACTGCATGGAGCGCCGCCTATATCCCAGTTCAAAGCAGATAATGCTTTGGGATTTATTCAGCTGTGTGGAAGGGGGTTTGGGGCCCTTCCACACAGCCTTATATCCCAGAATATCAAGGCAGAAAATCTCACAATATCTTCTTTGAACTTGGTTATCGGAGTCCATACTCAGATAATGTGTTTTTTTTTTGTTTTGTTTTTTTTTGCCCTGATATTCTGGGATATAGGGCTTTGTGGAAGAGATTTTATTTAGCTGTGTGGAAGGACCCTCAGATAATCCATTTCAAAGTATATATTGTGGGCTTTTCTGCCTTGATATTCTGGGTTACATGGCTGTGTAGAAAGGCCCCGAGTTCGCCCACAAAAGTTATACTTTAAAGCAGGCATGGGCAAACTTGTTATTCCTAACTGTTAAGGATTGTGGGAGTTGAAGTCCAAAACACCTGGAGGGCCAAAGTTTGCTCATGCCTGCTTTAAAGCCATTGCACAGTCCTGGTGTGTGTTGAATGTGGCCGCTATTGATAAGAGCTAAATATTGGAAAGTGGTTAAAGTTCCTGAGAGAATTAAAAGTCTGTAGGGGCCCTTCCACTCAGCCAAATAACCCAGAATATCAAGGTGGACAATCCACAATATCTGCTTTGAACTGGGTTATCTGAGTCCACACTGCCATATAACCCAGTTCAAAGCAGATAATGTGGGATTTTCTACAGTTGTGTGGGAGGGGCCCAGATTCCTCATAAAAGGCCTTGGATATTCACCAGAACTCCAAATTCGTCCACTTGTGAGCTGAGATAGTGACACTTTGCTTTCTGATGATTCTGCCTGCACAAGCATTGTTTCATGCACACTATTCTTATTAATACAAAGACATAATATAGCTGTCAAGTCAATGGAGTAATGATTAGATCATTTCCAACTCAGTTGTTATGGGAGATAAAGTGTAACAAAACCTCAACAGAATAAAGTTTAAGAACTACTTTAATGTCACACACACACATATACATCTGAGTATTTTAGGTTATTTTAAATAAACTACAATGCCAGCTGTTTGGGAATGGCTTTCATCAAAGTTATAGGCCCGAATACTATTGGTTGTCCCAGCTGCAGACTTATTAAATTAGTGGTGTCTGAACACTTTATTATTATTATTATTATTATTATTATTATTATTATTATTATCATCATCATCATTATTGATTCAGTTGGTATGCTTTAATGGGGATTGCCAACAAGATAAAACTAAATTCAACTGTTGAATCTCTTTAGACAGATCTTTGAAGCAAATATAGACTGAATTGTCAAGAAGCTTTTCCTTTCAAACAACATGAATGTAAGTATGTTCTTGGTATTAAAGATTATAGTAACTGCACTTTTCTTTTGCTTTCTTTCTTTCTTTCTTTTTAACAAGGTGACAAAACACTACTATAGTAATTTTTTGTGTGTTAGGAACAACTTGAGAAACGCAAGTCGCTTCTGGTGTGAGATAACTGGCCATATGGACGCCCGGATGTTTTACTATCCTGTGGGAGACTTCTCTCATGTCTCCGCATGGGAAGCTAGAGCAGACAGACGGGAGCTCACTGCACTCCCTGGATTTGAACTACTTACACTAAGTCATTTTTTCCTACTTGAATTGGAACTGATAAATAATGCAGAGTGACAGAAACTGAAGGTACTGCAGTTATGTCTGCAAAAGAAAGATAAACTGTTGAATACCTGAATACCACCAGATCCTACTTTATCTCGGGAGCAAAATAGGGTCACCATCAATAAATATTCCTTGTCTAAGAAAGCCACTATGAAATTCATGGAGTTGCTATAAGTGTATCTTCAAGTCAACAGATGACTTGAAGATACACACAAACACATATGCTAGTCTCTTTATGTTGTTACAAGTATTTCAATAAAATAAATATCTTCAGGTTTGAACTTGCAAACATGCTACATTAGATAACATTATAAACAGCACCACTTTTTACAGAAAACCCACATCATTACCGCAAGGACCCACAAGTAAAACAGAAAAAAAGCAAGCAAAATGTTTAGGACTGCAAAGTAAACCAGCTCTGCACACACACAAAAACTCAAGACACACACACCATGCAACAAAACAACACCTAGGCTGACACACAACAGATATTCCTCCTTATTTAGTTTCATTACCTGAACAGATAAAATGTCATTTCCTTGTCATAATGTGAAATTATTTCAGAAATTATATATTTGACATTTTATTTTCCTTGAATTTGCAGTGGTTACAACTAAATGAAGACCTGAGCCTGAAGAGGTTTATCAATGATTCAGAGTGCCCAGAAAACCTCAAATATGACTTTAACAAAAATGGTGAACTTAGACACCAAGATACCAATGAACCTTTTATTTTTAATTATTCCCATTCTTATAATGGCAATCACAAACGCTATCAAATTCTTGGACATTCAATTACTCAGTATATATATGAACTTCTGGAAAAGGCTTTCAAACTGCAAAAGAAGTATATTCCAATAGATGCTCCGGTCAGTAACCTTTGCAGTTTCTTTTTCATGAGTGAGAATGCATTAACAAATTGCTCCACTCTAGTTGTCCTTCTTCAAGACCAAGGACCGTCTCGTGCAGGTCAGTGGAGACAGAAGACCATAATTCATGAAGGTCTCCAACACGGATCTCAAATACCGTTCATTGCAATGGCTCTGCAGTGCTCTTGGGGTGTCATTGTTTTAAATCCCAATGACAATTTCATTGATCTAAAAATAGAATCTAAAATCCCAGACTTCTCTGAGGAAGATCCTGCCCGTTCTCTGAAATCATCTTGGTTAATCCCAAAGAGGTGCAGCAGTAGTCCCGAAGAACATACAACCTATGTTTGGGACTACTTCATTTCAAAAACCACAGCTAGAAATGTGGCTTTCGTTGCCCATGGCTATGGGGGATTGGTTTTTGTCAACTTGCTTAGGCAGAGATCTTTAGAGGTGATGAACAAAGTATATGCTGTTGCGCTTATTGATTCCAAACACCACATAATCCATCAGACGCAAGGCGATTCCCAGCTGCAGGAATGGATACAGAGACACTGTCGAAAGTGGGTAGCAGACAGTAAACCTTTGGATAAGACAGTCGGCTACTTCATGAAAGTAGATTGCCCTAGTGTTTCCGCAGGAACTGAAAAATATAGCTTGGTGCCTTCTTATAGTCTACAGTCCATCTTCAAATATTTTAAAAATAAACTGAAAGTAGGCAGTAGAAAGCGTGTTGTCCGCTCGCCTATTGCAACAAGGAGCAGAAAAGTAATGAAAATGTAAGCGTGTATGTGACTTATGACCGTTTTTCTTTTTCTGTGGAAGATGTACACTGCCTTAGAGTTCTCAAGCCCATTTGTAAGGCATATTTAATTTAAGTATGGGAGACTACTTATTTTGGAGGCAGTTTTGTTATAACTAAGTTATCAAACGTCTAATTCTGAATTACAGCTGTTTGTTTAATTTCAGTTGAGTGTATTTTGAAATTTAGCATTCCTTTGTACTTAACATATTACAAAATGCTGTCACCAATCAGAAAAACAGCACCTGTCCTTTCAAACCTCACTGATATGAAATTGTAATTCTGTATGAATATATCAATATAAGACAATAATAACACTGGGTCTGAAAAGTTTGTCAACTGTATGGTTTACATGATAGTGGTTTTGGACATAATGTGTTTATTGAATTGCTTGGAACTAATTTAGTTTTAATACTTAAAAAACCTCTACTGTGACACAGCATATTATTTACAAACAAATAAATGCTGGACCACTCTAACAACTACCATGTTGAAGAGTTGGGCATGTTTAGCCTGCAGAAAAGAAGGCTGAGAGGAGACATGATGGCCATGTATCAATATGTAAGAGGAAGTCATAGGGACAAGGGAGCAAGCTTGTTTTCTGCTGCCCTAGGATGCAGAACAATGGTTTCAAACTACAAGAAAGGAGATTCCATCTGAACATTAGGAAGAACTTCCTGACTGTGAGAGCTGTTCAACAGTGGAACTCTCTGCCCCGGAGTGTAGTGGAGACTCCTTCTTTGGAGGCTTTTAAACAGAGGCTGGATGGCCATCTGTCAGGGGTGCTTTGAATGCAATTTTCCTGCTTCTTGGTTGGGGATTGGACTGGATGGCCATTGAGGTCTCTTCCAACTCAATGATTCTATGATGTCAGACTACAAAGAGAAGCCATTGAAATCCACAAGCATGTAGACAATTTCAGGAGGAAATCATGAAAATGAACAAAATCTGGCTACCAGTATTTGAAAAACTCTAAAATCAGGACAGTAAATAAAGAGCATCACTCAAAAAGCAGGAAAATTCCAGACAAACAATCAGGGCTAGCTAACACTTCCCAACAAAGGATTCTCCCAGGCAGCAACCAGCCGGGCTTTGAAGCTGTGAAGACATTTAATGCTAAACAATGTGGCCGATTGCCACATTCACACTTTCCTCAAGCAGATAAGAGTTCTTTCTCCCACCCTGGACATTACCGAGATAAATAAACATCACTTGCCTGGTTTCAACAGACGTTTCAACCTCTGAGGATGCTAACCATAGATGCGGGCGAAACATCAGGAGAGAATGCTTCTGGAACACGGCCATATAGCCTGGAAAACTCACAGCAACCCTCTACTGTCACTTTAGATTTTTCAATAGGATACATAACCTGTAGAATCATTTCTGTATCTGTATTAACATAAACCCCATAGCATTTATTTGGAATCAGGACTTTCTTACTCTATTGCAGTTTTCCTGATTAAAACTAAGAAGTATATTGCAGCCCTGAACAAGTGAAATTAGAGATTCATCAACTTGTTTATGTACATAAATTTATTCAGAGAACGAACAAATGACAGAATGTCTGTCCCCCAGATGATGATCAATATGATCCTCAGGATAAATAAATATAAATATATTCCTTCAAAGGTGATAAAACATTCAAGGAAGACTTGAATAAGCAGTCTCGCTTTTCATTAGATGAGGCATTTAAATGTCTTGATAGAGAAGGTCGTACTTGGGAATATTCTTTGGATCAATTGGACTTCGTACAATGAGTTTTCCACGCATTGCTCCACGGTAAATCACCTCAATCAAATCTATGAAGTCTTGTTTTGTTTTGAAACTTCCCACAAATTTTGTGTGATCTGGAGAGCTAAGTAGGAAAAAGAAACAAAATGTAAATAAAAGCAAGAATAATTTGGAGCGTATATTTTGAATATTTATGGTTTGAAATCCGAACTTTAAACTCCTCTATTAGTATTTTAAGGAAAACATGGTAAAAATCAGGGGATAACTATAAATCAACAGGTAATTTGAAGGTACATAGTCACACATATATTTAGGATTGAAGATAAAATTTCCTGGCATTTTGAAGTACAAACTGTTTAAATATGTACCTCCACAATACTCCAGCATTTATTTATTTATGATATTTCTATCCTGTCTTTCTCAGCCCGAAATTCAATGAAATGAGATCTAAAATGAATGAATTACACAATATTTCCTGCTGTAACAATTTGGAAGTGCAGAGCAAAGTGCAGAGAGAATCATAATATGCATATACTTAAGGAACTGACACATCGCTTGATCACTGGCACAATTTTAGCATCATAAATTATCTCTCTAATGAGCAATGAACACCCAATTAAATGACACATGGATTACATACAAGCCAACTTACCCATAATCAACTTTCATGTGCTGCCCATTGAAAAAGAAGACGGTTGATGGAATATAGCTGATGTCAAAATATTGTGTGTACACTGGTACTTTGTTTACATCCACCAAATAAATTGTGGCCATTTTGCTTAAGTCATGAGCTGTCTTTGCAAGCTGTAAACAAGGAAAAATAGGTGCTACGTGACTGAAGAGGATAAGAAGTAAGGGTAAGTCTCAAATGACAACCCTTTATTTATTTAAAAAGGTAAAGATTTCCCCTTGACATTAAGTCTAGTTGTGTCCGACTCTGGGAGTTAATCTCCATTTCTAAGCCGAAGGGCCGGTGTTGTCCGTAGACACCTCCAAAGTCATGTGGCCAGCATGACTGCATGGAGCACCATTACCTTCCAGCTGGAGCCGAACCTACTGATCTACTCACATTTGCATGAGTTTGAACTGCTAGGTTGGCAGAAGCTGGGACAAACAACGGAAGCTCACCTTGCTCCCTGATTTTAACCACTGACCTTTCAGTCAGCAAGTTTAGCAGCTAAACGGTTTAACCCGCTGCACTACTGGGGTCTATTTAGTTATTCAGCAGCAACAACAAAACCCATTGGGATAAAATCAAAGTAGCCATGAATATGGAATATCAATATAAAAGGGGATTTTGTAGCACCTTAGAGACTTTTTGAGAGAAAGAAATTGGTGGCACAAGTTTTCGAAGAATAACTTCCTTTATGCATTATTTCTCTCAGTTACTCTCTAAGTCAGGCATGGACGAACTTCAGCTTTGCAAAAGAAAAAGTCGGGAATGGAGGAGACGTAGTTTTAAAAGGGAATTTTCAGAGATGTTCCCAATGCCCATATATCTTGATTCATTGCCATATTGGCCTGTTTCTGCAGTTGGCCTTTGTTTACATAAAATGCTGATGGTTTGAGAAAACGTTGCAGCAGAGAGAAAGTTATTTTTCAAGGATGTAATATGTTTAAGAACAAATATGTTGAAGTACATCCGGACAAAACCAGCTAGCTGGTGGCTAGTTAGAATTCCCAAGTTTTCCTGTTGCTCTGGAATGGAGTTATGTTTGCAACAGAATAACAGATAAGACTGATTCATTATGAAAGTCATGGTCAGAGAACAATATACTATATAGTTGTGCTGTAGCTGTGCCACTGTTAGTCCCACGTGTGCTATTATGTCAATCAAAATCATAAAGAACCAATGAGCAACTGTACAGCTAGCTTAGACCAATGAATTGATTTGTCTTTGGAAACCAATGAGAATGTGTATTCAATTTACTGCCAAAAATGATTTTAAAAACTCTGCAGTCCCATTGGGGGTTGTGATAAGCCCTTCGATTGCATTCCTGTATGCATGTTTGTTGATATTAGTATGGCCAGTTGAGGGGACTCCTAAGCTTGTGCATTTAGAGTGTTTGTGAGCCCATGCCCCTACATCAGTGCCTCTTCAAGGTGGCATGAGCTAATTTTGACCCTCTGTAAGTTTTGGACTTCAACTCCCACAATTCCTGAAGTCCAAAAACTCCCGGAGGGTCGAAGTTTTCCCATGGTTGCTCTAAGGTCTACACTATCTGTCCGTATAGTTCTCTTTTTTCTCACTCTCTAGCTTGGGGACCCGGTACTACCTGGGTGATTTGAGAAAGGCATTGTTTGTCTGTGCTCCAAGTTTAGTCCGGATCCAATGATGGCTGGGTTCAGTGGGTGCAGGTGAAGTATAGCTCCATGGTCCATCATCCTCCAAACTGCACCAAAAATAGAATGGGTCATGGGGGCTCAGGGTGCCAAGTAAGGTCTTGATCAGTCATAGGTGTGGGTCACAATGGTCTTAGAAAGTGAGTGAAGCTACTGCAAGGCCCATCATCCATGGTCCATTGGCCCATGAACCCCACCCAGACGTAAAGTGGGTCATGCGAGCTCTGTGTGCCAAGTTTGCTCTTGATCAGTCATTGGTGTGGGTTGGAGTGGTCTCTGGAAGTGAGTGAAAGTACTGCAAGTCCCGTCATCCATTGTCCGCAATTCTCCAAACTGCAAGATCCTTTTGCACACTTCATTCTTTCAGTTAGGGTGCATCTGCACAGTAGAATTATTGAAGTTCGACACCAATAACTGCCATGGCTCAATGCTATGGAATCACGGGATTTGTAGTTTTACAAAATCTTTAAAACGACAAATCCCAGATTCCATAGCAGAGAGCCATGGCAGTTAAAGTGGTATCAGACTGCATTTATTCCACTGTGTAGATGAACTCCCTCCCGGGTGTTTCAGATCCCTTGACAGACTTCTTTCTCTCAATTAAGTCTCCCAAGTGCCACAAGAGCCTTTTGCAAACAAAACCTAGAGCGCCTGACATGAAAGGGGGTCATACAGTATATTTATGTCACTACCATGTAATCCAGTTTCTGAATACAGATTAACTGCATGGAACTGGTTTTATATGACAGTGCAGGCCCATACAACTCACTTCAAAGCAGCCAGTCTTCATCCAGAAACTGAATTACATGGCAGCCTGAGGGGAGTGCCTCGTTTTTCTCCTCCTGTGCAAAGACAGAGTGACAAGAAACAAAAGCTGCTCACGATCTCATCCAGCTGCATACAGACGAGGTCGTCGTCCTTGCCAAAGCGAAGGACCAGGACTTTCTCCGCCACGGCTTTGATCGCCCCATCGACCTCCTTCTTGCTGGTGAGTTTGGGGAGAAAGAAGCTCATGGTGAGGTAAACAGGGAAGGCGCCCAAAGAACTAGTACGCATGCGCCCAAAATCTTTCCCGGGAAGAAGCCGCTTGGTGCCTTCTGATTGGCTAGGAATCTGACCAATCGTCGAAATCCACAGTTTAGCTCCTCACTTTCCCTTCGCCTCCAAACGGAACTAGCTAGCAACGTACTGACTTCCGGGGGGAAGGTGATTTTTGGCGGACCAGACATGTGTGGAGCCCGCGCGGCCGCAGTTCTTGAGGTGAGTCTTAACGGTACCTCCCCTTTCCCCCTTATATTTATGGGGCGTAAGGTACATAACGGCCTAGGCATGGCTTTTGTATCTTCATTATATACAATATACACAAATGGGTTGCTGAGTGTTTTCCAGGCTGGATGGCCATGTTCTAGAAGCATTCTCTCCTGACGTTTCGCCTGCATCAATGGCAGGCATCCTCAGAGGTTGTGAGGAAACTAGGAAAATGGGGTTTAGATATCTTTGTAATGTCCAGGATGGGAGAAAATGACTCTTGCCTGTTTGAAGCAAGTGTTAATGTAGCAATTGGTCACCTTGATCAGCATTGAACGGCCTTGCAGCTTCAAAGCCTGGCTGGTTGCTGCCCGGGGGAATTCTTTATTAGGTGTTAGCTGGTCCTGATGGTTTTCTGTCTGGAATTCTCCTGTTTTCTGAATGTTGTTCTTTATGCCAAACCTGTTCAATTTACTGTCCTGGTTTTAAAGTTTTTTTCATACTGGTAGCCAGATTTTGTTCATTTTCATGGCCAATTGCTACATTAACACTTGCCTGAAATGGATAAGAGTTCTTTCTCCCACCTTGGACTTTCCACTGATATATAAATCCCTCTTGCCTAGTTTTTTACATACCTCACAACCTCTGAGGATACCTGCCATAGATGCAGGTGAAACGTCAGGAGAGAATGCTTCTGGAACATGGCCATACAGGCTGGAAAACCCGGTAATTCTGGCCATGAAAGCCTTCGACAACACATATGCAGAAATATTAGGAACTAATGCTTGAAGATCACATGATCAATAAATATATGCCCTTTTCATACATATTTATCATCCCTGTGTGACTTTTTCTTTAGATTATTGACTGATTTGTGGTCTCCAATTGGCTTGGTTTTAGAACTTCCCTTGTGAATTAGACAATGTTTATATAGCAGTTGTAAGCTTAGGAGCTTGATGTATATCTTGGTTTGTGTGCGTGAAAGTAACCATAGCAGGGGATTGTTGGCTAGCAGTCTCTGATGCTTGTTCGTGAATTTCTGTGTGTAAATTCCTACACCAAATTTCCTATTTCCCTTCTGCACCACAACCACACTCACAATTCTTATATCTTAGATTTGCCATTTTTTCTCCTTTTTTAAAGCCATTATTTTTTGGTGTAACACTTCTTCAGGTTTGCCTATTTCTTTCTGTATTAGAAGGCTGGAATGCATACTTCAGCTGATTGCACAGATTGAATAGTATGCACATTTATTTCTAGAAACATAAGAGATCCCATGGTGGCAATTTCTGTTAGTAGCTTTTATATTACTTAAGATAATGAAGTTGGAAGAGACCACAATAGCCATCTAGTCCAACCCCTGCCATGAAAGAACAGACCGTACAAGTACCCTCAGCAGATGGCCATCCATCCTCTGCTTAAAACCCCCCAGAGAAAGAGTCTCTCCCATATTCCAAGGCAGCATATTCCACTGTAGAAAAACTCTTACAATCAGGATTTTTTTTCTTAAAATTTAACTAAAATCGCTTTTCTTGCAGTTTGAATCCATTGCTCCAGATCCTGGGGTACATCTACACTAAAATCAATGCAGTTTGACACCACTTTAACTCCCGTCGCGAAGTGCTATTGGAATCCTGGAATTTGTAGTTTGAGGAGGCACTAACACTCTTTGATGGAGAAGGCTAAAGACCTTTAAAAATATAACTCCCATGATACCATAGCATTGAGCCAGGGTTGTTTGTTTGTTTATTTATTTATTTATAACATTTCTATGCCACCTTTCTCAACCCTGGAGGGGATTCAAAGCAGCTTTATACATAGGCAATTTGATGCCTTAAAACAATATACAATTAAAATGAACATTTAAAATAGAATAATAAAATATATAAAACAATTAAAACAACACCTTCACAATTAATCACGTAATCCACAAGCGTAATCTGGGCTGTTTCTATGGCCGTTCCTTGTTGAAGTGGTGTCAAATGGCATTCATTCTACAGTGTAGATGTGCCCTTTGTCTCCAGAGCATCAGAAAGCAAGCTTTGTCCCTCCTCAGTATTATGCCCTCTCAGATACTTAAGCATGGCTTTCATGTCCCTTCTCAAACATCTCTTCTCTAAGATAAACATACCCAGCTTCCTCAGCTTTGCTTTTAGACCTTGGACCATTTTGGTTACCCTCCTCTTGACATGTTCCAGCTTGCCAATATCCTTCTTGAATTGTGGTGCACAGAACCGGACATAGTACTCTAGATGAAGTGTGACCAACACAGATTAGATGCAATTGCATTTGTGCTTCCATCTAGTAATACTGATTTTTTTCTGTTTTCTTTCTATAATTGCAGAAGTGCTCCACACCATATTTCCTACTATGAATACTTTCAATATTTATCTGAATGTTGTCCGAAGATCTGTCTTCCAGTTGGCTGTACAAAATAGAATGAAAAAGGAGATACTTTTAGTAACGCCTGGCAAGATGATGACTTGCAGAACATTGGTTTTGTCTGCTTGGTTGAAGAAAAATACTGTGCCAAGTACAACTGAGAAATTAGATTTGGATGGATGGAAAGATGTAATGCGAACTACTGTGCAAGAAGAAAATAATGAAGGAACATCAGAGAGTGAGGAAGACCCCCGTGCAGCAGCTACCAAGGAACTTATTGAGATGTGGAGGCTTTCAGGTAAAGCCGTTCCAGAAAATATCAGTGAACAGGATTTAAAGATCCTAATAGAATCTCCAACTAAAACTTCCAAAAGGAAATATTTACAATTCTTGGCTAAAAAAGAAATTCTGAAGAAAGTCCAGAAAGAAAAGAAGGAGAGAAAAAAGGCAGAAAGGGGAGAATTAAATCCACCAGCTCAGAAAGATGGTGATGGTGAGCTAGAAAATACATTTCTCTTGAAGTTTTGGTCCAGATCAGAAGATGCTCTCTACAACTGGAGAGCTGCACAGGCTATGATCTTTGGTCAGCCTTTGGTGTTTGACATGGATTATGAAAACTATATGTCACGTAGAGAAATGGAAAATGCAGTAAAACAGATGTTGGAATCTGAAGGCATGAATCGTAGGTCTCTGGACCCATTTCATTTGCATTATTGCAATCTCAAAACAGATAGTGCCTATCACAAAGAATTAATCAAACGCTATGGTGAGGCATGGGACAAGTTATTTGTGACAGTGACGGAAAAGGCTCATGTTGAGGTCTTCCCAAGAGATCAACTTGTGTATTTGACTGCCGATTCTCCCAATGTAATGAAAAGCTTTGAGCACGATAAAATCTATATAATTGGATCCCTAGTTGATAAGTCTATACAGACAGGGGTCTCCCTCGCACGTGCAAAGCGGCTGAACTTGGCAACAGCCCGACTTCCTTTGGACAAATACTTGCAGTGGGAGGAAGGAGCAAAAAATCTCACACTGAATCAGATGATGTCTATCTTACTAACCCTAAAAGATACTGGAGACTGGAAGGAAGCTTTGCAGTTTGTTCCAACCAGGAAACATGCAGGCTTCATGGACAAACCTTTTTCAAAGAATCAGATGGAGGCATGGAAGCTGTCCAAAATGCATGAGAGAACCGTGAATCAAGAAAAGTCTCAGAAATCATTTGCAGGGAATTCTTCCAGAAACCAAGTGCAGAAGAAGTGGTGGGAGGACATATCTGAATAGCATATTAGCCAGCCTGTCATGCCTGACAAAAAAAATCTCATTTAAATCAATGTTTAGCTTTTCATTATTTGAAAAGTTTATCTAGCACTCTCAAGAGACAGTGGTTTGATTAAGAACATGTTCAACTTTTCTTTAAAAGTTGGAGAAATTCCCTTGAATTGTGCCTAGTGTCATTCACTGTTTAGTGATAGGAGAAAATAAAGAGATTGAAAAACCCAATGACAAGAATTGCGGAACTTGTGCATTTTGCTACTGTATAGACCCTCTTCCCTGATTTTTAGTGAGGGAATCAATGATTTATGGCCTAGCAAACAATTTTTTTTCTGACAATAATATATATGAAGACAGAAAAGATTTGCATTCATAACTGCAAATTTCATGATGCAAAAAAAAAAAAAAATAACAATCCATTGATATAGAGAGGGAAAAGGAGACTCGTCCAGGGCATGCTGATATAGCAGTTTTCTACTCTTGAGGCAATATAACTTGTAGTTGCTTTAAAATAACTTGTTTGAGCAATGAGCCCATGATTTGGTAGTTTACAATTCTGCCAATTTTATGGGGGTTTATAAATATTGTGGGTGTGTATAAATATTTGTATAGCTGTGGTTATGCTAGAAAATAAATTCTGGCCTGGCTTATTTTTATTTATTTGCTTTATTTTCCTCCCACCTTTTCCCAGTATTGGGACTCAAATATCAAGGCAGCTAACAGTAGATATGATGCCAGGTCTCTTGACAATTATGTTAACAGGTGGGTGGATTAAGTTTTTAAAAAATTCAGGCAATCTGAAATTTGTAATTGAGTTCTGCAATCATGAGAAAATGAGATTTCAGTTCCACTTTCACTGCACCACACAGAATGGAAAACCACTTTGTGGCTTTTAAGGAGAGTGTCAATATCATGTCTAAGAGTGCATTCTACACATTCTACAATGCAGTTTGACACCAATTTCCAGGACTTAATGCTATGGAATCCTACAAGTTGTAGTTTGGTGAGGTATAGGTGTTGTTGGTGTTTTTGTTACTATTGTTATATAAATGTACATCTTTCTCAAAGGAGACTCAAAGAGGCTAACACTAAAAATCCTAGAAAGTGTGAACAGAAACTTAAAAAGCATAAATATAAAATATAATTAAATATAATACTGTGTTATTACAAATATATAGTTAAAACCAATATTTTTGGCAGAGTACTGAATGAGGATATATTGGTTACTTTTTCCTTTATTTCCTTAATACTCCATGTTGTGGAGTATTGTGTCAAGCTAGTTGAGGGTACAGTTAACATGTGTTTAAAAACACAAAGTTTAAAAAATTGGCATTATGCTAATTGTCATTTGACCAGAAGCTGGCAATTTGGAGTGCCTCTGGTACCGCTGTGAGAAGTTCCTCCATTGTGCATGTGGCAGGGCTCAGGTTGCATTGCAGTAGGTGGTCTGTGGTTAGCTCTGCATCTCGTGCCCAAGCACAGTCTGTTCAGCACCTTCCAGGTTGCCCAGTCTTCTGTGTGCCCAGGAAGGAGTTTCTTATCCGGTCTCAGCCACTGATTAAAGTGTTGGGTTTTAATATGCCACTTTTGGATTCTCGCTTGCTGAGGTGTTCTTGCGAGTGTCACTCTCAATCTTAGGAAGCTGTTTCTTGATTTAAGATGTAGGAGCAAAAAGATGAATATATTCCATAAATCCAAATCCAAGAGCAGATCGCCCCTTTCCCAGGAGGGGGGGGGGGGCAAGGAAGGACACCACGAAAGTTGAATCCTTAAAACTACAAAATGCTATTTAATGCATGGCTGACAGCAGTAGTGACAAACATGCACATTGAGAATGCAATCAAAGAGTTTGTCCAACCTAAAGTTAGTTTGCTTTGATTTTTATGACTTTCATTAAAAACAGAAGGCAAGGTTTGATTGGTATACAGAAATCAATCATCTAATTGGCCTTAGCTGACAATTATGGACTCATTGAGCCTTCTATCCTTCTAACAGCAGAAGCCTACAATAATAGTACTGTTCAAATGTCTGACACTGAGCTGTGGAGCCACAGGTCGGCTTATCTACTTGTATGTTGCTTCTCTACATGCCTGTGAGAAATTAGGGAGTGAGGGTATGCAGTATTATCAAGCAATTTGTATCCTTGAGCAATGGAAATCACAGAGAACAATAACTTCTCTCTGTTGCAGCATTTTCCAAGCATCAGCAATTTCTGGCAAGCAAGGCCTCTCTACAAACAGGACATCTGGGACTTGCAATCATTTGAAAATCAAATTTTAAAATCACGTCCCTCTCAATGGCATTGGCATGCTAGTTGATATCCGAACAGAGGATGGACCAGAGATGTCACTGCCTTGGTCCTTTCAGTATTGGCTGCTACTTCCTGGCGGATGTCAGGTGGTGCAATACCAGCTAAACAGTGTAATTTCTCCAGCAGTATTGGGTGTAGATATCCTGTGATAATGTGGCACATCCACTGCTTTCACGTGGTGCGATGTATTTCAAACTGGGCATGCGTATTCAGCAGCGGAGTAGCAAAGCGCAAGAGCAGATGTTGTCACTGTCTGGTTATGATCCCCAGGTTGTGCCAGTCAGCTTTGTTATGATGTTGTTTCTAGCATCCACTTTTTGCTTGATATTCAAGCAGTACTTCTTGTAGGTCAGAGAACAGTCCTGGGTACTTACTTTACTTACTTAGGCGATCCCTCATTGTCCGAGTAGGATAGTCTTCCTGGGTCAGTGTGCAGTGGGTCCGTAGGTGACTGTGGAGCCCTATTCTTGATTTGCATCTTCTCCCGCAACGAGGGCATTGGTTTCCAGATAGAAGGCGGTCCTGGTCGGAGTTGGCTTGATGCGTCTTCCTCTCGACACGTTTCTCTCTTTCGCCCTCCATTCGTGCCTCTTCAAATTCTACAGCACTGCTGGTCACAGCTGACCTCCAGCTGGAGTGCTCAAGGACCAGGGCTTCCCAGTTCTCAGTGTCTATGCCAGAGTTTTTAAGGTTAGCTTTGGGCCCATCTTTAAATCTCTTTTTCTTTCCACCAACATTATGTTTTCCGTTCTTGAGTTCAGAGTAGAGCAACTGCTTTGGGAGACGGTGGTTGGGCATCCGGATAACGTGGCCGGTCCAGCTGAGTTGATGGTGGAGGACCATGGCTTCAATGCTGGTGGTCTTTGCTTCTTCCAGCACGCAGACATTTGTCCACTTGTCTTTCCAAGAGATTTGCAGGATTTTCTGGAGGCAGTGCTGATGGAATCATTCCAGGAGTTGCATGTGACGTCTGTAGACAGTCCACGTTTCGCAGGCATATAGCAAGGTTGGGTGTGCTGCAATGCTCCAGTGGGATCCTTCCCAGGTAATCCTTAGAGCTTGAGATGCTTGTCTGTTCTTAAGATGAAAAGCACATGTCTGCATTTTAGATGGATTAGGAATCAGCTGTAATAGGCAGTAAGAGCACCTGAAGCTTCTGTTCAACCTTTTCAAAGCTCCTTGCGACTTGCAGCATTTTGTGGAGTACAGCACCCTTTTCTTGGAAATGCTGTTCAGAAGGAAATGTGCCCAATAAAGACGTTAACTTTTATATACAACCCCCCTCCCCCCACAAAAGTTAACAACATGTAAACATTAAAATATAATTAAATATAGGACTATTAAAAATGCATAGCTAAAACCAATACTCTGTGGCAGAGAAGGCTGAACAATCCCAGGTTTGCGTAGAATTAAGACATGACAGTTAAAGTGGCTTCAAACTGCTCAGTCCCCAGCAGTGGTCACTTCATTGGCTCTCTTGGCGCTGAAACTTCAACTCCCAGAAGTCCCAGCCGGTTCGGTGGATTGCCAGGAATGCTGGGAGTTGAAGTCCCAGCGGAAGGCGGCTCGCGATAGACAAGAGATTAACACAGTCTAACGTTTTCCAAACCGGAAGTCTCGGCGCCTCAAGGCACAGGTCTTAACATACGGAGTGAAGGGACGCTACGGCGCATGCTCAGAACGCGAAGGCGGAGGGGAGGCGGCGGTGGGGGAAAATGGCGGACAGCAAGGCAGGCGAGGTGAAGCTGAAACGACCGCGGCTTGACGAAGGTAAAACTTGAGCCGTTATCTCGCGTTCCAGAGGCGTTTTTCCTGCCTGTGAGGCTGCGGTGGGAATGTGGGGTGGGATAAGAAGGAGGATTGGGCCCAAAGGGAGGGGGAGAGAGAGAAAAAGAGGGCGGGCGGGCGGTGGGCTTCAGGCAGCTCCCTTCTCCCGCGGGTGGTGGGCCCGCTCTTAAAGGCGCCGCGCTCTTATGGACGCCACCGAGAGCGCCCTTCCTGTCGACTTCAGGGCCCGAGGGCGTCGGATGATCGTTTGGCGCCTCTGGCTTCCCAAGTTCAGCAACGCAGCGCTTCAGGAAAAACGCAGCAATGTCCTGAAGCTGCTCCTGAAGGGTTGCATTGCTCAACTGGGAAGCCAGAGACACCTATGGATCCATATAAAGCGCTCTGTCCAGGTTGAGTCGCCCTTCTTCGCAATGCTGGCGACATCATCTCCGAAATGATGTTTTTGGGTTTCGGGTTTTTTTGTTTTGGAGGGTTTTTCCCCCCTCTCGTTCTTGGAATGCTCACCTGCGTATCCAAACATCGTGAGAGTCCTGGCCATGCAATTAAAGGATTAGAATAAAACCAAATCTATCTATCTATTTATCGGATTAGAATAAAACCATATCTATCTATCTATCTATGCTCTGTGCATAGTGAATACCTTAAAAACAAAAGAACCAATGAACGAAATCACACCAAATTTGGCAACAAAACGTCTCACAACACAAGAAGTGACCATCACTCAAAAAAATTATGATTTTGTCATTTAGGAGTTGTAGTTGCGGGGATTTATAGTTCACCTACAATCAAAGAGAGTTCTGAACTCCATCAACGATGGAATTGAACCAAATTTGGCACACAGAACTCCCATGACCGACAGACAACACTAGAAGGGTTTGGTGGGCATTGACCATCAGTTTGGAGTTGTAGTTCACCTATATCCAGAGAGCACTGTAGACTCCAACAATGATGGATCTGGACCAAACTTGGCACAAGCACTCAGTACGCCCAAATATGAACACAGATGGAGTTTGGGGGAAATAGACCTTGACATTTGGGAGTTGTAGTCACTGGGATTCACAGTTCACCTACAATCAAAGAGCATTCTGAACCCGCTTTGAGTCACCCTAGGAGTGACAAAAGCGGTATATAAATGCTGTAAATAAATAAATAAACTAAACCCCACGAACAACAGAATCGGGCCAAACTTCCCACACAGAACCCCCTTGACCAACAGAAAATACTTAAGGCCATCCAATCCAACTCCATCAGGGCAAGAAAACGTAATCAAATTCCTCCTGACAAAGAGCCATCCAGCCATAGATAGATAGATAGATAGATATGATTCACCACACGCACACAAATATAGTATAGATTTGAAAGGGACCCCTAAAGAAGGACAATTATATGTCGCATGTTCCAGAGTAGGCAAACCAGACAATCTCCACATCAACACTGACATAGAAACAAGGAATACTGTTTACCCACAAGCATAAAGGAATTACATATATTAGAAACCATTACTTTATTTTTCAGATCACCAGACTGGGCCACAGCAATGCGTGGCAGGGGACGGCTAGTAGATTATATTATGGGATGAATATCCTCTCGTTGAAATTGGGAGGGTAGAAATGTATTGGAAATTTTTTTGGGGTTTTATTTGGAATACCTACATCTGTTTCTATGTACATCAGTGGTTCTCAACCTTCCTAATGCCGTGACCCCTTAATACTGTTCCTCACATTGTGGTGACCCTCAACCATAAAATTATTTTTGTTGCTACTTCATAACTGTAATTTTGCTACTGTTATGAATCGTCATGTAAATATGCAGGATGTATATTCATTCACTGGACCAAATTTGACACAAATACCCAATCCTACCCAAATTTGAATACTGGTGGGGTTGCGGGGGGATTGATTTTGTCATTTCGGAGTTGTAGGTGCTGGGAGTTATAGTTCACCTATAATCAATGAGCATTCAGAACTCCACCAACTATGGAATTGAACCAATGTTGGCACATAGAACTCCCAACACAAAATACTGGAAGGCTTGGGTGTGCATTGACCTTGAGTTTTGGAGTTGTAGTTCACTTACATCTAGAGAGCAATGTAGATTCAAACAATGATGGATCTGGACCAAACTTGGCACACAGACCCAATATGGCCAACTATGAATACTGGTTGGACTTGGAGAGGATTGACCCACAATTTTGGGAGTTGTAGTTCACCCACATCCTTCTGCATTTTCTAGTGGGAGTATTGATAAAAAAGGAAATGCTGACTTTTTTCTAATAAATAGCATTACAAATGACCTAAGCTGCTTCTGCTGCTCCTCCTGATGCTGCTGGGCCACTCTCAGTCCAACGTTGCGCGGGGATCTTTTCCCCCTGCTTTGAAGAGACTCGCGGCTGTGAACCTCCCTCCAGCCTCACATGATCTCCCTCACCAGCATATGCACATCACGTTTTCTTGTTGCTATATGCCAAGCATGCCTGCTCTCCCCTCTCCTGCTTGGTCTCAGAAACAGCCCTCTCCTTGGCTGGGAGATCAGCTGAAAGGCCGGCCAATCACAGCAGTAGGAGGGCTTTTGGTGGGAGGATTCGCCTACTGTTTCCAAAAAGGAAGAGAAGGAACCCCTTTGGCAGCCTTCTCTGCCAAAGGGGTTCCTAAGAACATCAGAAATATGTTTTCTGATGGCCTTTGGTGACCCCCCCAGAGGTCCCAACCCCCAGGTTGAGAAATGCTGATGTACATAAACAGATGTCTTGGAGATAGGAACACATGTTCAAACAAGAAATTCATTCATATTTCCCTATATACTATGTACACATACTGTGAAGATAATTTGATACAGTAATTTTTAATAATTTGAACAAAGCTTGAGTACTTTGAACCATCAGAAAGCAAAGACATCAACTGGGAGCATCTATACCAGCCATGGGCAAACTTCGGCCCTCCAAGTGTTTTGGACTTCCACCAGCTATTAGGAATTGTGGGACCTGAAGTCCAAAACACCTAGGAATTGTGGGAGTTGGCAGTCCAAAACATCTGGAGGTCCAAAGGTTGCCCATGCCTGATTTATGCTGTAGAAATAATGCAGTTTGACACCATTTTTACCACTGTGGAATCACAAGAGTTGTAGTATTTTAAGGTCTGCAGCCTTCTCTGTTAAATAGTGATGATTCCTCATCATAGAAGTAATTCCAGAATCCCATTAAATTGACCCATGGCAATTAAAGTGATGTCATACTGCACCTGTGTAGTTGCACCCACATCTCAGCTATCCATTGGATTTTGGAGCAATCTGGATTTTGGATAAGGGACACTCAATCTATATAATTGGGACACTTTAATAAATATTTTCTTTGGTGGTATGGAAGATTTTGCAACTCTCCTGCCAATTGTTCAAATCTCAAGCACATTTACTATGGAGAGTAAGTCTTACTGAATTCTGTATGGCTTGCTTCTGAGTAGTTGTATATAGCAGGGTTTCTTAAACATTTTCCATTCTTGACCATTTTTCCTGTGAGAATTTTTCCCTCATCCCAGATATATAAAATACATATAAAAATCAAACATTTACTGACTACAAATCAGCATTTACTAAACAGGTTGATTTCCCCTTTTTATGAGGTACAGGTTAAGTATCTTCTGCAGAGTTCACAGAAAACACTACATAACAGAGTTCTATAAATGTCTAAAATAGCCACTACATGATGTTCAGAAAATTTATACTGTTGCCAAATTTTTCGGGATTCCAACATTGAGCTAAGAGGACCCCATTTGGGGTCGGGACCCACAGTTTAATAAGGAGTAATATATAGGGCAGCACAGCTTATATTGTGATCTATAAAGACATTTTTCCTTGCAGGATATCATTCAATACATTATCCTAATTTTCATACTATAACACTTTTATGTTATTGGAGGACTGGAAAACTACCCTTACAGAGTTCAAGACATAAATCTAGGTTAAATGTAGGTTACACAAGTTCGTGGTGTGTTTTGGTAGTTATGTGAATGCCTAAGATTTTTTTTATAATGACATTTTTGAAGCAAGACAGATGTTAATATTTGTATACTTTTTTTAATTTGTAGTGACAGCATTCCATTCTTTTTAGTATAGTGTATCCTTCTAGCCCAGGCATGGGCAAATTCCGGCTCTCCAAGTGTGTTGGACTTCAACTCCCACAATTCCTAACAGCTGGCAATCTGGCTGGGATTTCTCGGAGTTGAAGTCCAAAACAGCTGGAGAGCTGAATTTTGCCCATGCCTGTTCTAGCCAGTCAGGCAACTACCAATTGAAGTATCTCGAAACATGTAGGGTTAGAAAGGAGTCAGATAATTCCTGATGCCCCAAAGAAGGTTAGCTAAGGCTCTGCCATGTGAGAAGAAAGGTTGAAAGTGTAGTTGCTGGGGAGGATAGTGGTCACAAAGTTTGTTAGGTGTAATGGGTTATCGAAGGCTTTCATGGCTGGGATCACTAGGAAACGGTGAGTTTTCCAGGCTTTATTACCATGTTCCAGAAGCATTCTTTCTTGATGTTCCACCCATATCTGTGGCAGGCACCGTCAGAGGTTGTGAGATCTGTTGGAAACTAGACAGGTGAGGTTTATATATCTGTGGAATTTCCAGGGTAGGAGAAAGAACTCTTTGTCTGGCTGAGGCAAGTGTGAATGTTGCAACTGGCAATCTTGATTAGCATTGAATAGCCTTGTAGCTTCAAAGCCTGGCTGATTGCTGCCTGGGATGAATCTTTGTTGGAAGGTATTAGCTGGTCCTGATTTATTCTTGTCTGGTATTCCTCTGGCTGCCCCAGGATTATTTATTTGGATTGCCTATTATTACTGATCAAAGATAAACTATTGTTTTGTTTGCTTAAATTACTTTCAACTTTCCTTTGAGCCAGGATTTGCTAAAATCAATGTATCACCTCTGAAAGCTAGTAAAATGTGGCAATTCTAAGCAGTATTCTGCTTACATATTTCTATGTAAGCCATCCACATTCTGCACAAAAGCCATATCCAGACTGTCTTCCCCTAAGGCAGCTGTGGATTCTGTAGCGGGTTGGAACAACTAATTAAAGTACATATCAGTGTAGTTTTCAGTATAACTTAGCCATCCAAGAAGGAAAAGTTAGAACGGAAGAAGAAAGGCTCCTGCTGACAGTTCAATTCCCAGAGCAGAATTTGCTATCTCTTGATTATCTATTTTTGCTTGGTCATCATAGAGGCAGAAAAGGGAAGGAATAGGTTTTCTCACAAAAAACAAAAAGCTTTTGTCTGGAAATGAGAACAAAAAACAAGTTAACAATGAACTAGGTGAGTTAGTGGACTTTTATTTATGAAGGTCAGAACTGATGCTTGGAAATACACTGTAAATAAGAGCTGCAGGCCCAGCTGTTATAAGTAATTTCTAGGTCCTGTCTACCCTGACCATTTAATGCAGTTCTAAACTAGCTTCAAACTGTGGTGCCAGACAACAAAAACCCACAAATCAAATAAAAGAAAGCACTTAATGTGCACCAGTGCTTTGTGGTTTGTGTAATCATCACCCAGGTCTCAAACTGCTTCCAAGATTTCCTGTGTAATCATCTGCATAGCAAAACTACTTTCCTTAATACTGGTTTGAAATTGCATTAAATAGTCAGCACTCTAGTTAGCAGTGCTGGTCAGAAAACTTGCTTATAGGGACCCAAGTAATTCTCCTTTCTTAAATCCTATTACAATGAGATGTTTCTGCATTTCCTAATACCGGGAATTCCCATTGTAAACTTGACAGAGCAACCTTTTAGGAGTATTTTAAGGTCTACCTGTTCAGGCTGTACTTTGGAATGCAGGGCTAAATCAAGAATGGTTACTCTGAACCAGCTCGGGACTTCTGTAGTATAGATTAGCACAAACTGAGACAAAATATCACTATAATCTGAAACAAAATTTTCATGCTTCCATGTAAATGGAAAATACACATAATTCTTAAACAAATTATCCATATTTTTGAAACTATGTATGCATGCAAAATACTATATAGGAATAGTGGGAAACTGTCAAGGACTGAGGCCTGCATTGCTCACCTAGGGAATTTTTAAGGGCTGCATTCTTATTTGCATGGGTTTTTAAATTGTTATAGAGGTGCAGGGGCAATTTTAAGGGCTACCAAATACTTTTATTAGGGTTTCTGGATAATTTCCTGTTATCAAAAATACTTTTCCTGGGCCTAAAATGCCTCGGGGGGGGGGGGGGGGGGGGGTGGGGGACCTGAAGGAATCACCTCTCATGCACAGTACAGGCCTTGGGGACTTTCTCCCCAAAATGTTTGTACCCTGGGATTCACAAAACAGCCCTGTTGGACTCCATGGAGGATGTATATTCCACATCTTTGCTGCCCAGAATTGGACCATATACTGTTTTGTATGAAAGCATGTTTCATTTTTGTAGAACAAATACTGGGTTTTTATTAGGTACTGATGAAAAGAGTTGGCTGGGGTCCAGAAAGGGTATAAGAACTGATATCACTATGTCAGATAAATTGGGGGGGGGGGGGCGTGGTTTCCACCCCTTATGGCATCTTTTTTTGTGCCCCTAAGCTCTGCAGAGCTAATTTTCAGACAAAGCTGAGAGCTGCAGCATAAGAGGGGCATCTGTTATGCTAGTGCTGTACTACTAGTATGCCGTTGGCTTTAGTTGAGCAGAAATAGAATGTAGAGCATGAAGATTTGGGGCAAGTGCTAGATTGGTAGAGGACAATGAAATAGTTAAAAGGGAAATAGCTGGCTTTTCTTTTTGTTTAAGGCTTAGTAATCCTTAATATAATTATATGAAAGTTTAATTTATGACCCAAAGCTTCTTCAATTACATAAGTCTTGACATAATACTATAACAAAGAAAAATATTGACTCACTTTTAAAAGATTGAGCATTGACGTAAACAATGGGTTTTATTTAGTCTTAGAGAAATCTTACTGAAAGGAATGACAATTCACTTAGTTAAGAGTAATGCATATCTATTTCAACGGGTCTTTCCATATGTCTAATTAAGCTGGATCTAACACATTTCTTTTAACTTCACCTTTGTTCTCAATAATTCTCTCTTAAATAGTTGCGAAGCTTGAATAGTAACTCCCTCAGTGTTGTGTTCCTCACTGATTATGCTTATCTAATCCCCATTGTTTTTCCATTCCCCATGAGACCTAAGCTATATAAATAAGTCAAATGACATGAACAATTGGTGTTCCTATCGCTGAATATAAATGCTATATATTCTTTGAAGATGTTGAGCTGTTTCTGAGCTGAACCTCTTAAATAACAACTGCAGAAGTGGAGCCATTTGTTTTTCATTACAGTAGACCAAGAGTTTTATAGCATCTTGAACAAGAACTTTTCAGTATGCATATCTTTAATTTAGAGGGCACTGTTGCAGCTATTAATTTAAACTACTGATCTATCAGGAAAATATAGAATCTGAGACACAGTGATTATTGTGAAAAGAGACTTTTCTGAACCAGATTATTAAATATTCCAGAAGGACAAATCTGCACATAAATTGCTGTGCCTTGAATGGCTCTTGCGGTTACTACCATCGTGCCATGCCTCCCTAAAGCTGCATCTTTTTTCAATGCATATCCAAAATATTTCAATATTTTGTCTGTGTAACTGGATTTTTTTAATGTTATACATTAGTCAAGTGATTGGAGCTCCCTTCACTATATGTCTGTATCCTTACAGTGTGCTCTGTATAAACAGTTGTGGAGATGCTGACACTGTAAGTGCAAAAGTCTCCTCTGCATAACAGTGCTTTATGAGGTTGCTGCTCCCATCAGTCCACTCAGTAAAAATAGCTCATCTTGGTAAGTTGTTTCGACTTCACCAGGACCTGAAGAAGAGGCAGAAAAACCTGTGAAAACTAAGACTGTTTCTTCCAGTAATGGAGGAGAAAGCTCCAGTTGCAGCGTGGAGAAGCAGGCAGCTGAGGAAGAAGCTGAAGACTTCTCAACAAAGCCAGCTCCAGCCAAAATGTCCAAGGTTGGATTTGCAATTGGCACACAGGTTGCAAAAAAACCACCTGCAATATCCATCAAACTTGGAGCAAATGTAAGATCTTAGATTGTTTTCATGTGAACAATTGAACTTTAGTGTTTTTAAAAATGTAAACATTTTGGCAAAACAGTAAAAACTTCAAAATGTTTTATTTCAGACTTAATTGGGCCATAAGTGTTTGGAAAAAAAGCCATATATTTTCAATTTTTTTCCAAATTTATTAATTGTCATAACATTTGCTTGGATTAGTTGGGGAACTGGTGACTTCTGCTCTAATATGCATTATATCAGGGGTGTCAAACTCATTTTCAATGAGGGCCACATCAGCTTTATGCTTGCCTTCAAAGGACCTTTGAATCATTGGTTGGAGAATCCATGAGTACAGAGGGTTAACCATAATTTTTAACATAGTGGTCATTTGTTTTTACCCTAGATGTCATTTTAAAGTCAGACATCATATCCACAATCTTTTTGTTTAAATTCAAGCCTCACTATTCTGACTAAACAGAACAAAGTACAGCCTTCCAGGTGTTGCTGTATCACAACTCCCATCAGCACTAGTCATGATGTCTAATGATTACAGGAGTTGTAATCCAGCATCTTGGATGGACATATAAAATCACACCAGCCCTTGGGCCATGAGTTTGACACGTGCATTATATGATAATGTAGTCACTACTTAGCACTTAATTTGTAGCAAAATAATTTTGTTGTTATGTACATAGTTCTAATTCATATGTTAATAACAAGTGTTGTTTAATTAAATGTACTGCACTGTGTTAATTGATATCCAGATTAGTCTTACTCAAAGAGCCATGAGGGTAATAGTGCTACTAAAGCATTTAACACTGTTTTCTTATATTAACGACAACAGCAACAATATGGACAATAATAATAATAATAATAATAATAATAATAATAATCCCTGCCAGTTAAGATTCCCAGGGAGGCTTACAAAATAGTAAAACAAATGTTGCATTGTAAAGCAGCACAATATTGCACAAAAATTTACAACAGCTTGAAAGAGTGAAAAACACGCTTCGTCGTGGATATAAGAATGTTTGCCAGGCATCAAAATAATTGCAGAATAGGCAGACATGCTCCCCTTGGGAGGGCATTTCACAAAGAGGAAACACCATTGAATACACTCCTCTCTGGTTACTGGTACACTTGATATCAAGAGCACATGGAGAAGAATCTTAGCAGATTGATACAGGATAAGTTATTCCAACATGCGCTTGGATCTTATTCTTTGTTTAGGTAGTTCATTTGCATACGGTGTTGGTCTCTTTTGCCAAGCAATGGGGAAGAGAGGGAAGATTCTTACCATGAAATAGTTAAGATCAGTATCCTAATAATTCTGTCTTACAACATGAATTGTTCCTTCTATTACCAACTTGCATTTGAATTTCTGACTGTATTAACATAATTGTGTTCCCTTGCAGAAACCTAAAGAGCCTACTCCCACCCTAGCTGCAAAACCACTTTCTGTAGCAGCAATCTTCAATGAAGATGATGATGTAAGTCAGTAACTCCCCATAGAATGGAAACCTACTTTGTCCTTTGCCCCAAGTCTTGAGAGGGAGTCTTGAGTTATGTCTCTATTAGGTTACTGATTAAACTGGCTTATAATTTTCATAAAATGCAAAATATGTAAAATGTTCTTTTGGGGACTTGTAGTAGTTCAGTGAATCTGATTGTTCAAATGTAAGAATTCTGGCATTTCTCCCATTCTTGCAAATACATGGCATATTGTAAACATTTGATGCTTTTTCTTGATGTTCTCTTTTATACGTGGTAGAGGTGATTGTGTGTACTTTTATTTTTCTAACCAGATCAATGCCATCTGGTATCTATATATAAATTCAATTGTTATCTGAATTGAATTTCTGAGCCTGGATCTCTTCATTTGAGTATATGAGAAATGTAAAGGTTTTTTATTTATCAGGAGATTCCTTCTTTCTCCTTCCCTTCCTCTACCTATCTTTATATATTAGGGGGATATGCTATTGGTAATGTTGCTGACAGTGTTGTGTTTGAGGAATATGAGAATTTTTTAAAAAGCACATGAGCCCCATCCACATCTGTTGGAATTTCTGAGCCTGGATATTGAGATGTACTTTGCTTCCCACATACAAATAAAGTACTTTACATATAACTTTTAAATTGAATAAGACTCATCGTGTATTGCATTAACAATATTATCAGTAGTTAGCATTTGTAGTTATTTCTCATGTTCATATTTTTTTGTAACTAGAGTGAACCTGAAGAGATGCCCCCAGAAGCTAAAATGCGTATGAAGAACATTGGAAGGTAGAGTAACTCTTGCTCATTTTGAAAGGATGGGGGGAGTAGAATATCTGCAGGATTTCCTGCATGTTGCTAATTTAGTAGTATATGAATGTCCAAAAACATTTTATAGTTTTGTTTTCTGTTAACAAGAAAAATTTATCATCAAGTTTGCAGATGACACCAAATTGGGAGGGATACCCAATACTCCAGAAGACAGGAGTAGAATTCAAAACAATCTTAATAAATTAAGAGAGATTTGCCAAAATTAACAAAATGAAGTGCAATAGGGACAAATGCAAGATATTCCACTTAAGCAGAAAGTAGTATGTGTGAAAAAGATCTTGGAGTTCTTGTAGTCAACAAGCTAAACATGAGCCAACAATATCATGTGGCAGCAAAAAAAGCCAATGGGATTTTGGCCTGTGTAAATAGGAGCATAGTGTCTAGATCCAGGGAAGTCATGCTGCCCCACAATTACCTTCTTCCTTGAAATATTGTGCCCAGTTCTGGGCATCGCAGTTGAGGGAGATATTGACAAGCTGGAACGTGTGCAGAGGAGGGCGACTAAAATAATCAAGGGTCTGGAGAACAAGCCCTATGAGGAGCAGCTTAAAGAGCTGGGCATGTTTAACCTGAAGAAGAGAAGGCTGAGAGGAGACATAATGACCATGTATAAATATGTAAGGGGGAGTCATAGGAGGGAGCGAGCTTGTTTTCTGCTGCCCTGAAGACTAGGATGCGGAGCAATGGCTTCAAACTACAGGAAAGGAAGTTCCACCGGAACATTAGGAAGAGCTTCCTGACTGTGGGAGATGTTCAGCAGTGGAACTCTCTGCCCCGCAGTGTGGTAGAAGCTCCTTCTTTAGAGGCTTTTAAAGAGAGGCGGAATGACCATCTGTTGGGGGTGCTATGAATGCGATTTTCCTGCTTCTTGGCAGGGGGTTGGACTGGATGACCTACGAGGTCTCTTCCAACTCAAGGATTCTATGATTTTTTTTTATTATAATAAACCAAAATTGCATTTTCATGAAAGCTAAGGTTGCAAATCCAGTTCAGTGGCTGTAACATTTCATTATATAGATACAACTCCTGTCATAGAATTGTTCCTATATTGAGTCAGCTTAGTAAAGTCTGTTCATACCACCTAGCACAATTATCCAAGGTTAAATATGCAAGTCTTACAGGTACCAAGGACAGAACCTGCAACATTTTGCAACCTGCAACGTCTTGAATTTTTCCTGTGTCACTGAGAGTGTATTAAATACGTCGTAACAACAAATATTCCTTTCTTTGTCCCCTCCACTACCTAGTGGTCACCATCTTGTTGGCAACATACAAAGTAATTGGGTTCAGCCTGAGTATATCTATCAGACTTTGCAGAAAGAAGTATCCAGTATCTTCTTTACCAAGGCCCCACCTTGGCATATAACAACAGCTGGGAGCTGCCAGATACAATCTATCTATATATAGGCTCATTGTAGCTGTTTTTGAGCCTGGCAGAGGAAGGAGCAGTATTAAATTTCTCTCCCTGTTCAAGAGCAGTGTAACTTGGTAATAATTCTGCAGTGAGGAAGCAGTTGGGTGAGGGAGGAGTCCCTCATAGATCATTGTAAAGATTTAGCCACTGCTAGTGTGATGCAAGTTTTCAGCAAGTGTATTCAAGTTAAATGCTGAATTATCTGTGAAACATGAGCATAGTGGCGTCACCTGGTGTTTTCTAGTGACATTAAGGAGATCTGCTTCAGTCACTGTATCCTCCGTGTAAGAATTACTCTGGAGAGGCATCTTTTAATTTGCCTCATTCCTAACGATCACAATGAAAAATGTGACAACTTGTTTTCTGTGTAACAGAACTCTGAAAGTACCTACTAGTACAGATTATGCTAAAGGATTTAGCTGTGAGCACTAAAATTTGTTAAAATTAACCAGCTCCTTGGTATATTTTACCACAGGGATACTCCAACTTCAGCAGGACCAAATTCTTTCAACAAAGGAAAGCATGGATTTTCAGACAACCAGAAGCTATGGGAAAGGAACATGAAATCCCACCTTGGAAATGTCCGTGAACAAGAAGATTAGTTCTGTACTAAGATCTAGGGTGTTGGGGAAACAAGAGGGTATGATATTAAAGGAACAGTTTCCTTTTTTAGAGTGGTCTAAGGCTATTTTGGGTGCACAAAAATGCGTTTAAAAGTAGAGGTAATTTATGTTTTGTATACAGATTTCAAAGCATTTGCTAATTTTGTAGCTTTGTGCGTTTAATTTCACAAGGTTATGGAAAATAAAGACATTGGAAGTGGTACCTTTTAAAAGAATTTTCTTTTTACAACTATTCTTATATGAAGACAGAGAAAAGGTTACTGTCTCCTTAATCAATTTAAGTTAAATGCTGCTGCACTCAACTTTCCAGCTCCTTCTGTAATAAATGAGTTGCTTATCTCCTTAAGGCTATTTTCTTAGAGGGAGAACACTGTGTATAAGTCAAGTCTTACTAGACTGCTTCAAATTCTAGTCAGCATACAACCTGTAAACTAGAGTACTGTAAATCATTTAGTACGTTTAAACATAACCTTAAAAAAACTTCTGGATGTGGTATTTTAGCTCTATAATCCTGTTTTCAAACTTTATGTAACCTCTGTAGCTTGTTTCACTCCTAGAAATGGGTCTTGCGTATGTATCAATATTAGAAAAGAACAAAGATTCATAACAAAAGGTAAATCAGTATTTTTGATGTTTTTGTAATCAAGAGTCCGTCTTGATGAATGTTTGTTAGTGTTCTTTTGTCGGTTTGCAACAGATTCATGCAGTAATTATCAGCACGCAAAGACATTACCAAAAGAATAATTTTCCCTATTCTACTTTGGTTTCACTGTCCTCGGTAACCCTTTAAGGGGAATAGAAGCTGCACACAAGTAGACCTGTAGTTCATTGCTGAAGTGCAAAAATTAGAAACGTGCTTCCATATATTGATAGTTTGAAACTTTACTTCGGATGCTAGCAGAAACTTTCCCTTATATTTTCAATTAAGATACTATCCAATTAAAAGACAACCATTTAATCCACATTAGTATTGCTGTTTAATAAATAGTTAGAATGTGAGTAATATTACATCTTTAACACTGTCTCTTTTACTCTTATTGCTGAAACACTATCAACACTATCCTCTTTTATAAGGAAAGTTTTATGGCAGAGGGTATTAAAGCTGTTAGCTTTTGTCTACCTTCAGTCTTAAACATACAATGTCTTTTAGCAGGATTTCCAGTTAAGTAGTCTTGACACCGGTAGCCACTATTGCCACATCTAGTGGAAATAAATACATCTAAAATATTATATGGCTCTACATTCCTTCATGGTGTCTGATAAAACTGCAGCTTGCAGGTATACTATGGATTTGGCTTGAACCTTACGAACATATTCAAAATAACTGACATATTTCATTGTGCTAAAGTTTAGTATAGTTGAAGACAAATAGGCCTAGAGACACCATGATGCTAAAAGAATGAAACACTCCAATAGCAGAGTTGAGCCGAGTGACGCTGTTTACACAGGTGTAGCACAAGAGACAGAACAATGTGTGATATGCATTGGACAGTGAAAAACTCCTGGATTCCTCCCTAATGCTAATCCATAAATCTAGATTAACGAAACAGTTGGATTGAGACCACTGCATCAACATTTTCTTCTTGCATTTTAGATGATTCAAATATCTAGACCTCTGTTTAAGTTCTAAACATTTTTGTATTTTTATATTTGTATGCAATTTTTGTTTACAGTTAAAAGCGTATTATATCTTCTCTTTGTTATAAACATAAATGTAAATGTTATTTCTCTGTAGATGCAGTTATTCAACTACTTGTGAAAGTTCAAGACTTTTGGGGGGAAAGGTATTCCAAAGTCTTTTTGGCTCCCTACAGCTGAAGCCAATGGCAAAAACCCTTAACAGAATTTTATTTAAGTAGGCATAGAAGAAAATCTTTTAGTCTATTAGTGCCTTTTTTAAAAAACCCTTTTGTTGTGTAACCAGCTCTCTGGAATTTTTCAGTTTTAGGCACTTAATTTGTCCCATGCTCTTTGCTCTTAAAGTACTGAAAAAGTATGTGTACCTTGTAATTTGGGCCTAAAATTACAAATCTCTTGAAGTTTCACAATTGTCATCACAAGTATAGGGAAGAGTTCTGAGTATTTTCCATGATTTATCTCAAGTTGGGGAAGAAAAAATGGGAATCAAAAGGTGTAACTATTTCTTGAGCTTTGCCTGTGTTGATGTTGTACAAAAGACATGAATTCTAGCTACTGGAGCTAGTATTTTAAGTATAAAAATTTGACAAGTAAAACTAGATTCCATGTCAGTTTCATATATTCTGAACAAAGGGAATTGTTTGTACAATTAAATTTACAAACACAAGTCTCTTAAAAATTACTTTGCTTAGGCCTCTCTTTCCTTGTACAGTCACAAATATACATTTTTTCTTCTAAATCTGTATGGCTCAGCAAACTATCTAAAATTTGATAATGAGTCGATCTAACCTTAACTATATTTAGAGTACATATATCTGCAGATACAGATTTTATCTAAAACATGAATGAGTTAATCTTACTGATTGCATGAAACGTGTTCTGCTTTATGGTAAGGTCAGCCTATAATAAAAATCCTTTATATTTTTAATTTTATTTTTTTAAAATATGTAATACAAAAAAGAAAAATTCTGTAGTAGATATAAGCATTAGCTATACATGTACTGTACATTGACATAACCTGACCATATGAACAAGAATGCATTTTCTTGATATTGATACCTATAAACTGCATAGTCATGGATGGTGAATGTTTATCTTTCCAGTCTTAAATTATGAATCCTTTAGCAACCATTAAATTATAAGGGATCCAATTATTATATTTAGAAAATAAATTCCACATTGCTGGAATATTTGTTGATGAGAGCAGAATAGGAGCTTCTCAATGTGACCATAAATTACTAGGGTTTTTTAAGTGTGTGATTTTTGTGTTCAATCCTGAATTTACTTTAATATAAAGTAAAATAAGTGCTCCAGTGGAAAAATGCTGTTAACTAAAAAAAATCAGTGACTAGCAGATTCTAGTTCAGCAATATGCATGTGCGCTTTCATGTCACATTTCAATTTACAGCAGCCACATGAATTTCCTGTCCTCATTTCATCAGATATACTTACGGCAAGATTAAGTGTAGTGAGCTCTGTAGAAGATATAGTTACGTTCTGTGACATATTCAAGATACTATAAATATGGGTTTTGATTTACTGTTCCTTCATTTGCATACCACCTATCCAGAATTTGCATAAAACAAAGGCTCAGCACCTTTACTAGAAAGGATGTTATTTATATAAGAGGATTCAAGCTATTAGTTAGGTCAAGCTGTTTTACAGATTCTGAACTAACCCAAAATTGGCCATTTAAAAGTTGGGGGGGGGGGGGAGTCGCTGCTGTTTATGATATTAGAAGGCTTTCTATGGATGGCTCTGTATTGTTTTGATCCATAAATAGTATATTGAGCAAAAATTCATGCAAGTAGACTTCCAAGTTGTGTAAGAGAATTGTAGTCTGGCCCACATTTTGCTTGCTCCTGCTCTAAATGTATCAATATAAATAAGCACACTTTGTTTTCATATACACAACATCTCTTCCCTTGTTCATTTTTGGGTTATAGTTTCTTAAATAAAGCATAATCTCAGCAGTTTAAATATAAAGTATACATGTTTACTTGTGTCTCAAGAAATACTACCTTGAAATGATGTTCAGGATGTACAAAAAACAAAACAGTGCAAGAATGTACACAGTCACTGATACTAGCCAGTTTCCTTACATTACTGCCTGGAACTGATTACTCAGAACTACCAGACATCTGGATTTGATTACATTTTGAATTTTACAGTCATTGTTTCTTATAGAAGCCTCGAAGTGTAATAAAATAACAGAACTACATCATTCATATTTGTGCCCAAAAATGCTATGTAGATTTGACAGGTGACTCAGAATCATACTGAGCTGTGAGCACCTTCATGAACATAATGCTTTGTATACCAACACCTAGCCAAAAGTTTAATTTGTAGATAACACTCCTATCCTGATCTTCTATGAACTTCAAGAATATAGCTGACTTTTAAACAGAGTGGAACAACTCTTTGGATTACCAAACCAGAATATTTGCATAAAAGCAAACTGTTTGAAGAGGAAAACAAGAAATACATACCTACCACTAGCACACAAATGACTTTATTTTTTTAACCAAGTGATTACAAGTGATGCAGTAGTTTCCATGTAAGTCTACATGGCTTTTTCTGTTGGCTTCATCGGTTTTACTTTGCAATGAATAGAAGTTAGTACTAAATCTTTCAAGAAATTCAAGGAATGTTTCTGGAATTAGGGTATTACTGTAAACATCCAGTCAGAGCATTAATACTTGGGAAATTGCACATGCTGCTTCACCTACATTATCTTCTGCATTAACAAATGTTTGTATTTAGTCCTGATCAGAAACATGTTCCACCTCCACTTCTACAGTCTGAATAGCTTCTGTAACTTCAGTCATTTTCTGTCCTTGTTGTTGCGCCAATACATAATTGACTACCTGCATGATACTTTGGTCAGAAAGAGTAGAAACTGTGGTACACTCTTCAGTAGCTGCAACAGTGTCAAGTGTTTCTTCAGTCATTACTACAGTCTCGATATCTTCACTACAAACCTCCGCCTCTTGTTCTGTCGCATCAGATGTTAAAATACTGATGGCATGTTCGACTTGTGTCCCTTGGTTATGAAACTGCAGTGTGTCCTTTTCCAGCATTATTTTACAAGGTACGTAATCCCGGTGGAACTTGGTCATATGTTTCCTTAAGGTGCGAGCGTCTATGTAGGCTTCGTTGCATACTGGACACACGTAGGGCCTCTCTCCTGTGTGGGACCTCACATGGCGCTTTAAAGAACGTGCATCAGCCCAGGCCACTCCACAAGTCAGGCACTCAAAGGGCTTAACACCTATTCAACAAGATACAGGAAGGGGGGGGGGGGAGAGAAGTTGCCAATCACAAAGTTATCAGTAACAACATTTTTTTAACCATTTCACTGATATACATTCTGACACATCACTAACATGTGGCATGTCCTTTTGTAATTTTGTTATTTGGGTGCCAAACATATTTTTAAAAAGCTTTACAGAGCTAGAGTACAACTTGAAAGGCACTCCAACCTCTGCTCCAAAGACACTAAGAGTTAAGATCTTGGGTGTGTTTTCTCTGTGGTAAAATCCCACCTATCCATTTAATTCACTGCTTAAGCCTTTAC